TACTCTGTCCGTCTTCAGGAGAAAATAAGGTTCTGTGAAAGAAAGGCAAGAAATGTGCGTTGGTTGTCCATGGCTTTCACTCTGCAAACTAATTGTTAGACATTATGGCTGGTCAGGGCAACCCGAGTAAACCAAGATCGTTCAATATCACATATTTTGCATGCCAGTCTAAACCTACGACCCCACAGGTAAGTGCGGGGCAAGAATTTGTAATCAAATGCATAAGGTGATTAACTTCACCTTTGACCCACTGACCTGCCATGACCTTGCTCTGCTCTTTGACCTCCTGGGCCAGGGCCCGCCTCATGGCTAGCACCTCTTGGCGGGCCTGTTTCTCTTCCTCCACCTTCAGTCTCAGCTCCTCGGCTTCTGGGAACTCTCCTGCCTTGTCCCAGGTAGACAGGCTGGTAATATATCAGAAACAAGAACTGATCACCTGATCGATCGATTGACCTTTCAGCAAACAAGCAAGATCGTGGTCAACTTGGGAACAAGAGACAACGGCCTCTCATCATAGAAAAGTGAAACCATCAAATGATTTGGCAGGCACAGACAACACAGTAAAGTGATCCATGCACCAAACTGCAGTTTGGTCTTCTGGAACTGTTGGCATGTATGTGTATAATATCCAGGCATAATTCCAAAGCCCGACATGCAATGGGCATTCAGTGTGTTTACAGCTGCTTTTCAACTGCATGTGCACAAAAATGCATCATACCATGTGCAATAGTTGCTGATGTTTGGAAGAGGGTAATGTACAGGAGCATGGATGTACAACAGAAAATAATGCTGAAGAGATTTTTACCAAGTGTTTATCTACCACCATTCGAGCTAGCCAGAAATCAGTCCTTGCTCTGCGGTCAAACACGAGGATATGAGGACTGTACAATATTTGGAACCTGCTTGTTTCACACAGATCTGGATCTTGATCCATCATTGGTTCACTGGCACCAAAATCCGCCTGATAGATGGAGGGACCAACCTTTGGGCCACTGATCAGGATCCAGATCCGAATGTAACAGACTGGCCCTGTGAATCTACTGAAAGCATGCCGTGCATATGCAATTTTCATACAAACTAGCCGGTTCCGATGTTAACATTCAGCCAATAGTGTTGCAACAGGGCAGGTGGCTACCAACGTTAAGGAATAAGTTCCAGCCTGATACCAAGGCTCCTGCACGTGTAGTTCCCCAAGTTTTGAGATCACACCACTCAAATGCACGTTAGCCAGCAGTGGCTGAGCTTGATTTGAAATCAGCCAATTCACAGTTGGTCATATTGACGGTCACCAAAGTGTGGCAACACACTGCACCAAGAACGTGAGAATTCACGGTGACCTGCAGTAGACCTGGAAGCTTACGCCAGCTGTGAGGTGCATCACTAATAAAACATTGGCTTTAAGTACTGATAGCACCGTAGCACAAAAATTGCCAGGGGCAAATCATTAGACGAAACAATAGCCAATTTCAGGGCTGAAAATCTTCCCTGCTGTCAAGTTATAAAACCCTCTGCTCCTTCTCCACAAGGTCAATTCATGTACATAACCTTACAAAAAAACTGACATCAATATTACACCAGATTTTAAAGACCAGTCCAACTCAACAAAATCATACACTAAACTGTAAACATCAACACTGAACACAAGAACTGAGGGTTAGTGTGCAGATGTTAAATAAATAAAGCGTCATTGCTACAACCTTTTGCGAATTTCGCTCAAGGAATCCCTGCACATTGTACAAATGGAAAGTGGAAAATAAAGATGAGGCATCATGAAATCTGTACAGGCACAGAAGCTGTACGTGCCATGATAACACTCGTCGAGCATCTATGCAATGCTACAAGTTGACACACTCATTCAATAGCATGATTGACTGGATCCGACAAAATGAGTCTTAAGGCCGATAATGCTGCGCTAGTGTGGATTAGAAACAGCAAACTGAGCTTCTACTTTTGATGTATTGCTCAGCCTTTCATTTCCATGAACATGGACACTGGGCAAGAAATGTTGAGGGTTTCTATTGATTTCTATACAACCTTCCATCCCAGTGAAAATGGACAATGGGTGAAAAACATTGAGAGTTCCTACTGAATTCCACTGTGCAAGATTCTTTTCAAAGACCTTAAACTAAGAAGTGGCCCTGGCGACTTTTGACTCATTTTGTCAGGTTGGGTCACACACATGTATATACATCAGTTGACTGAGCAAATGGAATGTGCGCACAACAGGTGGCATGGGAAACATGCGGCTGAGTTGGAGATGTAGACTCAATAGGCCAACTCTGTCTAGCGTATCTAAGACCTATGTCAAGAAAACTACGGTCAAAGCCTTGGAGCCTACGATGCTGAGCTGGGGTCAGAGGTGACATTATGTGCGCAGTCCTTCAGCCCAAGAAGATGTGAATTGCTGGGATTTGAAACTGAAGCGCAGGAACACACAACACAGGCCATGTGAGGAAGCTTATGCCAAACAGGTGAGAAGAAAACTCCACATGGCAACAACTTCCATGGGCAAACTTCTCCTTTTTTGGTTGAGTTGAAATTCGGAGAGACTCGGTAACTGGTCTCAAAAGAGCACTCTCACCATCCACTGCTCCAAGCTTCTTCAACATATTCTGAAAGCTAGCCAAGTGCATCACACTGGCTTTTAATAATTGGAAAAGCAGGGTTTTTGCATCATGAAATGTGGGAAAATGTTTCAAACTCGGTTGTGATCCAATGCGACGTGCAAAACCAGATGATGAATATATGGCATACATGTATGTAAAATCTGTGACCTCTGACCCATGCTCGACGGAGACAAATATCACAGATGTGATGCAATAAGCCCACTAATTCTCAATTCGAAGATTCCAAGCAGTCTATTCCTGATTAACTACTCAACGGATAAAAACAAAAATCAGCATAAACCACACAGCCAAATGTTTATTTTAAAAGACAAAATGTACCCAAAAATTACACCATCACGATCTTTCATACACAAATTTTGCATGCACGACTCTTTCAATTAAAGGTGAACTGAATTACTTGTGGAATGAAATCGTGCTGTAAGGCATGCCATGTGGAAGATGGGCATGATTTGCAAATGGGCTGGACATGGCAAAGAGAAACATGGGTGATTTTGTTCTTTCTGGGATGAGAAATTTTGACACGCATGCATAACTAAAGGGCAATGGCTACAGAGCAAGGCAAACCAAAGCAGTAATGGAAACAAGCCAGCACACTGGAGCCCTGTCCTAGACAGGCCTTCAAGAACTATGGCTAAGTCAAATTTCTACATCATCTTCGGTCACCAAAGACCAAGACCTGCCTTATCTTAGGTATGATAAAAGTGTCGATTTCAACCCTCCGTTTTGATTTTTATGGATTCTGTGCGATCCATTTGTGCGAGTAAATGGAAACAGTGCAAACACTTTTCAGCTAAATGTGCACAACCGTGCTAGGATGCGCAACAGAGATGGCAGCAAAGCATCTGTCCATCAAAAGTATTTTTCTGCTGAGGGAGTATTTGATAATTGAGTCTTTCCCTCTCAATTCAGCACCAAGCCTTCATTTCGTGGATCTAGTCTCCATATCTGATCAAGCCTCCGTTTCATGGATCTGTCCAAAGGTTCAGCCCTTCTGGTCGTAAGTGGGAGACCATTTTCTGCTACATGTACAGGCAATGGCAAGATTTTGGAAAAAGGCCAAGATATGACCAAGCGCACAGTGCCTTACACTGCCAACAAATCAGTGGCTGCCATGTTTCCACAACAACAAAGTCTACCAGATGTTTTAAATTCAACTAAACTAACATGTTAAAAACAACAAGCACAGAAGCGAAATAAGGGACAAGATAGAGGAGTAGAAAGTTTGGAGGTTAACTTACATCTCGCTTGGATGCCATTCTTGAAGACTGGGTGGAGAGAGCAGATGAAAGGAGGGGGAAGAGACATAGATAGAAGTGGAGGGGAGAATAAAAGAGAGAAAGGGTAGCGCCACAGCAATCATGGACAAAAAAATTGGCTGCTCAACTGTATTTCCACTGCGAAATTGTTCTGACAAACCCCTGCGACATACATTTAAGTTGAATAAATTGGACGACGTGGACACTGATATTTGGGTTATATATTCAGTTAGTAACTACAGTGGAGCAGCCAAACTCTAAAAAAAAACACACACTGTGACGTTGGCAATGCAGCTTGCTGGTTTCTACAAGCCTTGACCGTGGCTGTCCACTTGGTTTTTCAGGTCTGCAGTCTCCGTCCAAGTTGACAGCCTCAGTCAAGTACCTCCCCTGTGGTTACAGCTGCAGTGCCAATGCTGCCAAGTCAGAGAAAAAGTTGCCATTTTTCTTTCCTCTGTAAGTGAACTTTTACAATTGGCCAGTTTGGTATTCCAACAGCGTGTGCGCTTTGTTCCCGAAAGACCTTGGCTTTCTGAAATACCAAACTGGCTCCTCTCACGAGTCCTGCCACAAGTCCTCTCACTAGTCCTTTCATAAGGTCTGCCACAAGCAGAGAGGTGGACAGTGAAGTGAACTGTAACCAAGGAGGGCCTTGGTTACAGTTCATTTGAATGGCTCGTGACTTGGTTTCAGACTGGAGGGCTTGTGGTGGACTTGTGGTGGACTTGCAGTGGGCTTGCGGTGACTTGTGAACAGGCTCAACTACAACACTGAAATTAAGACCATGAAGCTGTAGTCATATCACTGGAGTCTTGCAAATTCATCCGACCCCCAACAAACAGCCACTTCCGCGAGCAAGTAGGTTAAATGAAACTTGACAATAGTGAGATCTGAACCCAAGATCTCCAGAACACTACACGGGTAAACATGCATGCATTCTGGATAATGCAGGATCACAACCTCACTCCAATTGTTTCGTTTGTTCAACCTAAATGTTGACCGAAGGTGAACTGTGTTAGTTTACCACTGCTGTCTTTTTTTCCCCTCATTGTTGAGTTGGCTTACGTCCCAGATGGTGAATAACTCAAAAAACTATGATTAATTTAAGGAAGTGTCCAAATTACTTAGCTTCAGCTGAAAAGAAGTCATAAATATATTGGAAATGGCTGCGGCTGATGGCTGGCACTTTCCATAGCAGTGCATTTCATGTTTAGGCACAGCCAAGTAATTTGGACACGGCTTAATGCTTTGGATGGAGAATGTTAACTTTCACATAGACTACAAGCTGCACAGACACACCTGCAATGGTGCAATTTTGTAAACTCATTTTATTGGGGAATTCCGTTTGCCAGTAAATGAAGGTGGCATATCGCATCAAACACGAATAACCTAACTCTAGCAATGCACGAGCACCCTGACATGAAATGACTTGACCTGGATCTCATGACACACTTGGGGAGCCTCAACTACGATTTTCAAGGAGCAGTTTGGAATGTCAATGAAATGCTCATGTGGTGCAGTATGAAGTATCCCCCAGAAAGGAGAAACTTCCAGGCACGTGATCACTATGTTCTAAGGAAGGGACTCAATTGTTCAGACAACCCATCAAAGGGACCCTTTTTTTACACAACACAGTTTGATGCACAATTTAATCACAGACCATTTACCTGGGGATGTGCAACTTAAGCTCAAAGCTGGTTCAGTGGCGTGTTGCAGCCGGCACAATATCAAAGCAGAAATTAAGTTGGATTGTGTAACACTTTCTCTAATAATAAAACATATATTCCTGTCTACCACATTGTTTTCATGTAATATTTTAAGTCAGGGTACACCCGTTCTAAAAATGTGCTGCTCAAGATATTTCATCCTATACATTCTGAGAAAAGTGTACCACAAAATTGGGGAATTTTGCCTCATTAAAACTTCGTTTCTCCTTGAAATCGATAAATGAAGAAGATTTATTTGTCAAAATGAATAGATTTAAGCACCGTGTCGGCGTGTCATCTCGGCATAACCACGGCTGCACCATACATGTTGCATGCACGTGTCATGCGTGTCATTTGGTCGCGAGTTTTTTTCGAGAAAGTCGAGTGCACCTGCGGGGGTAATAACAATCCATAACACGCATGGAACCAAGGTCGCACATGTGTTTGCACTGGGGCCGCTTGTGGTTGCACATCCCTGAGTAAATGGATCGTGATTTAATGTAATGCACAATGATCACATAACCTAATTCATCTCACTTGACAAATGTTTGGGGACAGATATTTCATAGTAAAGAACAACTCAAAACATACAGATGAGTACTTGGGAACACACAAACCTTGCCTTCCCGAAATGCCCTTGCGTATAAGAGCTTTCATTCTTGCAATATTTCAGATGTGAATATTTAAGAACTTTAATATGCTTTCATTGTATCTGCAAAGCAAATTCATGAGAATTTGCTCCCCCCTTGGGCAACATATGAGAGCAAAGTCAGGGATATTTTGGCCGAGACCAACCACCGTTAGTTGAAAAATACAGTTACGGCAGAAGTCTCTAACATACATACGTGTGGTTAGACACTACTTTGAGTAGTTGATAACCATTTATCCCTTTGGCGATAATGATCCAAGGCAAGGGCTGTGCATTTTCCAGAGCAAATGTCAGATTTTTCAATGACATCTTTCGCTTTATCACCAAGATATAAAATAGCACGTAGGCAACACTGACTAACTTCTGAGTCAGCTCAGAAAAATGGGTGGAAAGCAAAATAACAAGACATAAAGGAACAGAAACAAACAGAACACACTCACACAAACATCCAGAATGCACAGTGTTTGCTGCTCACACAAAAAATGAGAGGCAGGAGCCAAAACAACAACCAAAACACCCCCAAACGGCATTCAGCCAAACAGATCAGAAATTTAGAATGGTCACACAGAATGAAAGAAAAGCTGGGTTTTTTTGGGGGGGGGTATCTCGGTCAAGCAGTCACTTACAGTTGATGTACATGTACCTTCTTTAAAAGAAATCACTCCAAATGCCCCCCCATTGACTCCTGTTCTAACTATAATCCCCCAAACCCAGTGTTGTATTCGAGTCCTTCACAGTCCTTTCACAAGTCCAGTCAAGTCCTTTCACAAGGCCAGTCAAGTCCTTTCACAAGGCCAGTCGTAAGTAAAAGGGTGAACAATGACAAAAGAATGCTTTTGTCACAGCTCATTTGAATAGCTTGTGAATTGGCTTCAGACTGAATGACTTGTGATGGACTCGAATGCAGCACTGCCCACACCTTGATAAATAATCCACGCTGACATGTGGCTTACCCAGGATTTGTCGTGGGAAGGGGCTGGAACTGATCATAGAGCATGGACCCACTGATGCAACGTCCTCAAATGTCCCATTATTTCCACCTACTCACGATGCTCAACCTTCCCCCCTCCCCTGCACCACATGGGACTGGGATGTATGGCAGTATCAGAGCTAGAGGTTGAAAAGAGTAGGCGTATGCCGCATCTTTGTTGTTCAGATAATATTAAAACAAAAACCCCTCTACGAGGGCTCAAGCCCTCCACCCCCAACTCCAATATTGCTTATCTTTTCAAACCACTCGTTTTAATGACTGCTGAGACACTTCAAACACACAGGGATCCAGTCCACGTGGTTGTATGAATCTAATAGCTCTGTGGTGATTGCGGAGTCTTTTTCGAGGGACAACATTCAAGACCGAGGCCGTGTCCGAAACGGGCTTTCAGAGCTACGGCTAAGTCTATACTCTGCACGTCTCCACGCATTTCCAATGGAGCAGAGACCTAGACCTAGCTCTAGACAAGAGATTCGGATGCAGCCTGAGACTCAGCCACCAAAAATGAAGTTTACAAATGCAGCTAAAACTGGAGACAATTCTGACTTCGTATCAAATATTTTGCTCCTTTTGAAAGATGACATGCAAAATCTTGTTAGGTCTATTCTCGTGCCTAAGTCACATCCATAAAAAGGTTCCCTTTTTTCAGTTGGCTTTGTTTTCTGATGAGGACGGGGTTAAAGGTCATCTGTTGTGAGCCATTCCTTCACAATTTCCACGTTTGAATTTTCTACCATTAAATAAACATGCATAGGTATGCTACTTTTCATGCATCTGCTACCGGCTTCAATTCAAATACATGTCTCAAGATTTCAAAGAAGTGGGGATCAATAGCTTTTGGGGTCTCAGAGAAAAAAATTCCACAGACTAGGACTGGACAGTTTCCGATTTCCAGAATGCGCAATCTATCATTTTTGTCATATGCAAGCTGGGGGGAACTTATCATGCAAGAACCTGAGGGAAAATGAAATCCCGTTCAAGTACGGTACTACGACAGGTAGATTCCCATCTAGTTACTAGTAACGTCAAATGGCTCAGCATGAAATCATTGGGCAGACAGCACTTTTTTTTTTTTTTCATGCAAATCTGACCAGTGACACTGCACCTAACCTGCGACACAGCAGATGACCTTTGACACGGCAAGTGACCTGCAGCAGCGCAAATGAACACAGTGCTGGTGCAAAACAAGTCTCGACACAGCAAATGACTTGCAGAGGCATGACAGCTGACCTTTTGACACCACAGGTGACCTCTGACCTTACCAATGACCTATATGACACAACAGATGACCTTTTTAACACAGCAGTTACATACCTAAGACGATATCTGATGATGAAGGGAACATGCATGAGAAAAGTAACAGTTCTTTTTTTTTCATGAAACATCTCAAATGAACAGTTTTTTGAGAGTTTCGCTTCAGATGAAGGAAGGCATTTACAGGCATTATCTGGAGAAGCATGATGAGGGTTTGGTTGAATAAGTACCCACCTCGACATGTCGTTTTCTAGGGTGATGCCATGTTCAGAGAGTCTTTTGGGGGAGATGAATTAGTTTCAGTTTTTTTTAAGGTCCCAGTTTTGTTTTGAAAAAAGGCAGGGTGGGAGATACAAAGAGGAGAAACAAAGGGTTAGTAAAAAGAAGGAAAAAAAGAATGAAAATACGCACAGCAAGGAAAGAAAAAATAGGAGTATAACAGAAATGTTTCAGTTGAAGCAACAAGTGAAGTCAAGGGAGACGTTACTTGTGCAAACTCTGGGGCAATTCTGTTGACAAAACCCAATCCGAAATTTTGAAGTTTATGGAATGCAAAATGGAGATAGAAAGGGAGGGACAGGCAGAGGAGGGGAAAGAGGGTTAGTGAAATTGGAAGGGGGTGAAACTTATTAAGTTGTTGGGTCAACAGGTAAGTTTGTGGGTAGGTGGTTGAGCGAACGGAGAGTTTGTCATTTGCGGGGAGTTGTTCAGAGGGGTAGGTTCGGACAAGGGTTGATTTGGGGCAGGGAGTAGGTTGAGGAATGGGGAGAAATGTGCAGGGCACAGCGGATTATAAGAAAGAGGAAAACTGACGTAAGAATTAAAGACAAAAAAATTATGAAATGAGACACATTAAAGAAAGGAATTCTTTTGTAATTCACATTCATAGGACAAGTTGAAGTTTCACTGGAAAAGTTTATTTGCTAGTATCTGAAATCCCTTGGTGGGAAAACTGTTAGACAGATTCTGTTTTCACAACAGCATTTTTCTGATTTTCTTGAATGAAGTGCGGACGGTGGGCTACTCATTTACAAGTCTTAGAACAGGGATAATACAGTCTTCTCATTTTGTAACACTTCAATTTAAAAAAAAAGACAATTATAAAAAGTATAATGATGCAAATTTTTTTTTACAAAACTCCAACGCAGTTCCATACACACACATATTCCAACATGACTTCACTACAATCACAAGCCCCTACATAAACCCAATGACGGACCCCACATAAGCTAGGGAGCACTCTCAGTAACAAAGTGATCCTGTGGTCTCTCTTTTTCAAGCTCCACAGTCTGAGTCAAACACTGGAAGAAATACTGTCTGACAGCCCCTCCCCTTAAACACACATCCCGATGTGAGCACACACACATCCTGACGGACACCCTGAGAAAGTATGTCCATCAACAGTGTCTTTGATTCTTTCATGTTTACTTGGAACACAGAATTAAATATCTGTTTTCCCCAAAAGAGCACCCTGCAATGGAAGACAGAATCTGACATACCCAGAAAAAACCTCCCACACAAAACCCAACGGACACACTGACACACATGGTAATACTTTGCAAAAACTTGTATCCGTTGAGTCTCCAACAAACATAATTAATCTAAAATATATATGTACCTCTCCAAAACTTGGACATACCCCTCCTAAACACATCTCACCACACACCCCATGACAAATACCCACATACAGGTAGAGAGGCACTGCTAACTAACCTGTGGGCTGACAGCATCTTGGTGATGCGGTCCACTCGCTCCTCGTGTCTCTCTCTCTCCTCCTGCGTCATAGCGGGTTCGTCATCGTCGTCCGGCAAGTAGCGTTCTGGGATGATGATCTTAGCCGGCAGTCCCAGCTGAATGGTGGGGAAGGGGGATTTAATGCAAATGTAAAGCAATTTGACATAAAAAGTTGAACAAATGCAATCTCTTAATATTCCGAGGTATCTAGGAATCTCAAACACGAGACCTCATCTATCAAGTTTAAGCAATGTTTCCGAGACACTTCGAAACCAATGAGGCATTTCCAAATTTCAGCATCAACGTCAAGATAGGACAATTTCCTAATAAACAACTTGCCACATGCATGCAGATTCTTACAGACACCAATGAAATTAAAGAAACTTCTTTTTTTTGTCGCCCAACACAAGGCCCCAAGAGGCCACTCAGGGTGAGGGCTAAATAGTAAAGTTAAAGAGGAGAACTGAGAGTACACGACATTTAGTAGGAACAAAGAAAAAGAGCTACAAATTTCTGCAGTGAAAAAAAGTCAAACCTTTAGACAATGAAATATTTAAGGTGTTCTACATGTACATGCTAAGATTACGGGTTTTAAGTTCTTTCCGTTATCATGCACTTTCTTGCTAACTCATATCACAAAAGCATCATGATGAAAACAAGGTCTTTCAATTCCCTCTGCTTTGAACAAGGAACATACATGGACATGAGCAAATGCACAGTTTTAATCTACCATCAAAACACTACACTTTCTGCATACTTTTGCACGACTGGAAATAAACGGCAAGACCGAATTCAAGGAGATGCAAAGCAGATAAATATTGCACAGTCATGGAGCTGTATATAATTTCTGGAGCACTACCTTGCTGGGCACGTTCAGGTTGCAAAACTCCAAATTTTGTATGGCTTTTGTCTGTGTTCTAGAAACAGTGCAACAATACAGCCAATACGCAATGAACCTATAACACATCGTCTGTAAATGAGTGTTTCGTTTTAACCACTTGCTGCCGGGTAAAACAGTCCCTTGAATCATAAGCTGCCGGGCGGTGCTTTAGGATTTGGACTTTGACATTCATATTCACCATACTTGTCACCATTGTTATGTCTATTATGGAGTTACATAACGGCTTCTTTGTTTGCCTTCTGCCCCCAGGAATGACAAACAATGGGTGGGCTGGACGATGCGTTCGTCGGCCAGGCTGGCTTAGAGCGCTGCGGTCCTTCATGCCATTGTACTTCACAATACGATCACAGCCTATGGTGACTCATAGCAGTCATTCCTGTCCCCAACTTAGGCCACCCGGCTGTGTGAATTAGAAGAATGTGTCCGCATTCGGGGAACCCGGCTCTAAGTGGTTAATTTGCGGAAACAACATGGAAGAGTGTGTAATGGGCTGCTGATGAATTCTCGCTGATGCTAATTAACGGGCAATTCCAGAAATTAGGGATCCATTTTTTTGTGTCATTGTTGCATCTGACATATGATTTTGTAAGTTCAGAACACATTTTCTAATTTCAAAGAGTGATTAATTAATGCAAATTACCTGCCAAACAAATAAGAGTAATTTGAAATCAATTCCGGTGATATTTCCATGTCAAATGACAAAGGTCAAATGTTATAGGGACATGAAAATGTCACACTTTTGGACCCCTAATGTCTGGAATTACCCTACAAAAAGCATGCTTTAATTTACTTGCTCACTGCATCAAACTGTACTCTATGAAGACACAAATTCAAAATGTGTGACCACAGAAGACATCAAAACTTCTCCACGCAGGGAATGGAGAATTGGTGTTCTAGTAATTATAGCTCTCTGTACTCAGCAGATTCGCATCCTTGGCAAGAGAGGAAAATTTAACTCAAAGTAAATTTTCATAAAAAGCACACAGTCATGTGAAAACCTGTCACAAGGAATATACATTGCATGACACTTTTACAAGGAACCTTTTTTTTGCTGAGCATTTTTCCTGTGTAATCGACAAATGTTTGTGCTCGGCAACTCCATGAATTCGACCTTTGGACTTTTTTTGGACTAAAGCCAAAGAGACAACCTTTAACACTGGAGCAAACTGCATGGAAGGCATGACCCTAAGGGAAAACAACGTGTAAAGAACTAAGTCTGACAAGGATCACCACAGTCAGTAAGTTCACATTTAAATGAGCAAGTACGGCAGAAAAACACTTGGCATCGCTGCAAACAAAAGTGGACTGTTCCACAACAAACTGTAAAGACCGATCAAAAAGTTTTGCACATGCATGCCTACATGTATCATTATTTTCATTACCAAAACCCTACAGTTTGCTGAAAAAAAGAGAACTAATTCCCTTAATGTTGCAAAGTTGGACTGACACGCACATCAAATGTTACACAAACAAACTGATTCTTGGGGGATCGCAACTAAAACTGGCTTTCCAAGGGGTTCCAGCCAGGTGAAAGTTGCCGATTTGAAACTACATACAAAGCAACAATGGACTTATACAAAGAAGCAAAGAACAAAAGTATGCAATGCCAGGACAAAGTCACGGTACATTCCTAGCAATGCAATAACAAGTGTTCTTACAATCATCACATCCAGAGTCTTCAAAAAGCAATGCATTATTGTGTGCATGGGACAGAGATACAGGAAAAAGAACAATGGAGAAGTTAATTTGAACATTTGAAACAAAGTGAGCTCCTGTCACAGGACCACCTGCTTTATCTTGAATGGTTTGAACACACTCTCTGCATGGGGTCTACACCTGTCACAAACCAACAGACTCGGGTGAAATCTCTCTTTGGGGCAGTTTGGGGAGATGATTTTCGGTCGTCATGTGAACAGGGCTATGCCTAACATTTTTAAAATTGGGCTGTGTGAGGTGACACTTGCAACTGGGAGAAAAATCATTCTAAGCGGAAATACATGTAGGTTTTCACCATGCAAATGAGGAATCCGAAGATAAGAGAAACCCCTGTAAGCAGTTATTGTTGAAAGGAAATGGGTTTTAAAAAGAATGGGGCAGATTTAGTTTCCGACCACACAGCTATAAACAAGAGGCCAAACTTGCTGCTTCTTCGTCAATAGACTTTATTCATGGCAAAGCCATGTTCAATCGGGTTCCCTGAATCTATTTCACTCAATGTAATTTGTTAAATGGGGTGGAGACAGACTATTTGGGGTTCCAAGCCTCACTCACTTTACTCTCTTTTTATAATGTGGCTTAGGAAATTTTTGATGTGATAACTCACAACTTTTGACTTGTTCCTCAGTGTAGACCAGCATTAATTTGTAATAAACTTTTCATTTCATTGCTTTCATATTTACTCTCAGGTTCCACAAAAGAAAAGCTAATCTCCCTTTCAATTCAAAATGGCTGACTCGTGAATAAAGTTTATTAGTGTTATCCTGCCCAGTATGAAAGGCTCGTGAGTAAGGAAGGGTAAAGGGGCTACTAAATAATTGCAAGAAGGCACCGAAATCAACCTGAGGCGGTGTTGATTCAGTCGAAGCAAAGAACCACTCTCTGAGGAGTTTGCGCTTTGCCTGGAAGTAGGTATGGGGGACAAAGGCCAGGTGGGCATAGGACTGGATGGGAGGCAGAGGGATTAGAGGAGGGTGGGGTGAGAGAGAGAGGGAAGAACGATAAAGAATGGAGGAAGGGGATGAAATGAGACACGCTTTTTAGTCCGCATCCATGAACCCAGGGCATCAGTACTGGCTGATTTTTCGAGCGTTGTCATAGGATGGTTGAAGCTGAACAACGTCTGATCCTTGTAAGGTCGAAATACTGCATCACGACTAGCACAACGAGCTACATAATTGATACTGACAACAGTAACCAGACATGGCTGGAACTAAAATGCATTTGGCAGGCACGGATAGCAGTGTTGTAGTCGAGACCATCACAAGACCAGACACAAGACCAGTCACAAGACAAGACACAAGACCACGCACAAGACCAGACACAAGACCAGTCACAAGACCACGCACAAGACCAGTCACAAGACCAGACACAAGGCCAGACACAAGACCAGACACAAGACCACANCACAAGACCAGACATAGACACAAGACCATGCACAAGACCAGACACAAGACCAGTGACAAGACTAGACACAAGACCATGCACAAGACCAGTCACAAGACCAGACACTAGACCATGCACAAGACCAGACACTAGACTATGCTCAAGACCATGTACGGGACCAGTCACAAGTAACAGGGTGAAAAATGACAATGGAATGCTTTTGTTGCAGTTCATGTGAATGGCTTGTGACTTGAATTCAGACTGGAGGTATTGCATGTATTGTGCTGGTCTTGTGTGGTCTTGTGAAGGTCTCGACTACAACACTGATGGACAGCCAGAATTTCCAACCTTCTGTTTTTGGCATGCAGCATGACAAAGTTGATAAGGTCTTTCAAACAGATAGCACCGTTTAACCTGGGTGCAAATTTCATAGCGCTGCTTAAGCGTGAAAAACCTTCTTGACAAATCAAGTTACCAGCCAAAACTTCTTGTGATGTAATGGTATCTACCTGTCTTTTGGTTAGCATGACAATCACACAGAATTTCAGCTGGTAACCGTTGCTTATTAACCACTTCATACCGGGGCATTTTTCAATGTTGATGATGCTGGGCCGGCATGACTATCATTTTTTTCCGTTTTCAAAATTCTTCAAAAATTTATCATTTCATTTAACGGTCGTTTATAGCCGCACCAAGTAATCTTTAGGCACTACTCTAAGTTGACAGGTGACCTTCACTGATGCCCGAGTATTTCAGCCAGGCCAGCAGCCTTGTAAACAGAGCCCAAATTGTGCGGTGTTGTATAACTGTCTTTTGTTCACGAACCTGGCTTAGAGCACTGCTGACCTCTTTTCAATAAGGGCCAGATTAGCGTGCAGCGGCGCTGTGTGGCTCATCGCTGCGGTGGTGGAGTGCTTTTGTTCCCGGTGGTAATCCGCTCGCTCTCAATGCCCCAAACCCTGGTATACGGTTTCAAAACAAGGCTGGATTATCACCACTTTTGAGAGTGAAAAATGTCGGTAATGCCCAGCAGCCTGGTCTTTTGTTTTGAGTGCGGTCTTTTGTTACAGGGCCCTGTTTCCTTTGTCCGAGTTCGGAGACCCGGCCACCCGCATAAACCATACGTCTCCGATCCCAGAGCCCCCGGCAGGAAGTGGTTAAGCAAGTTTTTTTCGTGCTTAAGCAAAATCTGTGCTTAAGCAGCTTTATAAAACTGGCCCCTGGTGAATTTTTGAAACAATACATGATGTTTTGTGCAGCAGTGCACGTATTTACCCAGCACAGACAACACTGCCCGTGTACACCAAAAACCACGATAACTGAAGTAATGATAGAGGTACGTATGATATAGTCATCACTGCCAAGCAAGATATTCACATGGATTTGTTTGCGTTAAGCTGAAAACAGCTGGGTGCATTCTGCGCTATTTGAAAGTTTAAACCTGTGCAAATTAACCCCCAAATAAACCTACAAATACATGCATGTCTTTCCCTGACTGTGTGTACTAAGGGGTGCAGGTGATGAAGTGGTTATGGTTTGTGACTCCTGACCAGGGGGTTAGGGGTTCCAATCCAGCTGCTGGTCATAAGTTGTGGACTTGGGCAAGCCACTTAAACCCCTACTTGCCTCTCTCCAGCCAGGAGTATAAACGGGTACCAGCATTAGCCGAGGGGTACCCAGTGTCAGACTGGTATCCCATCCAGAGGAAGACATTTTCGCAGACATTTCATACCAAGGAAACCAAATGACTCAAAACTGACTGGATTTTTTTGGCTTTGGACTATATGGGCGATGACAGAATAGAAAAAGCTAAGATTTGGAAACATGGGGAAAATCAAAAAGCCAACTTACAAGTCCCCCGCCTGTTGATTCGTCAACCTCTACGGGTTTGTATTTGCCACTGATTATGTCAGACGGGCGGGGCCCAGAGGGCTCTAGTATGTCCAGTTCCTGAACCTCGTCTGGGTCTATCAGAGCTTTCTGCAACTCATGTATGGCGATATCATCTTGGACACCCTAAAAATGGAACAAATTCAACTGGAAATTAGAAATGTTAAAAAAAAGGAAGGACAAGTTTGCAAAAAAACCATGATACAGATCTTGTCTTCAAGATCCTGAACGTACAGGGCGAAGGAAGGTCAAGGGGAGGGTCAAAGGTCACGCCAAAGAATCAACGAGAAATTCCACCTATGGTTGGCCAGTGATGTATGCAGAACAAAAATATGACAGCGCAACATGAGGTGAAAAGTCTAAGTTTTGTTAACAACACTGTGCACTGAAACTATTAAGACCAATCACTTTGCCAGGGTTTTACTAATCTCTGAAAAGGACAGAACTTTGCTCTTAAGCTTTTCAGAGAATAATACTAATTCCCAGAGGAGAGGCAATATGCACACAGGTGCTTTATCCATGAACCTATGCACAACACAAGTGGCTCGAGAACAGTGTCACGCACTGGAAGGGGATCCTTCAAATGATCTCCAACATTTGAACCCTTGACCAATTAGAAAGTGCTTCTTTTCCACACCTTGTGCCAATAAGCCATTTGTGAGTTAAATTTGAATAAAATCTGGTACACTGAGTTATCTGATTGCATATAAACATAACGATTGGAATTTCCCAGACTAAGGAGACTGTTGCAGCAATGGCGTTTAGTATGGAGAATTTGAATTATGACAGTAAAACGAACAAGATCAGCGACTTCATCTCTTTCTCTCTACAACTAGGATTTTCGTCTTGTGAAAAAGTTAAGGGTCAGCTTCTTCAGTAGTTTGGTTTATAGACATGAAGCATACAGCTCCACACAATGGACAGCTGTTTTGAAGAGCTGGGCAGACTTTTTGTAGCACATGAACAAGTTTGATAACAAAAAACTTGTGGATCCTGGTTTTTTTAAACAGCACTGATGAAATGGGGTGGAACTGATGTAAATGATATCGAAACGTTCAAGATTACGGTGGTTTCTGCCACACAAACTTACAAACTACCAACCTTCAGTTACTGAGCAAATACTGATTTTGTGACGGCATAGCATCCATGGTGCAAAATGTGAAGTCACACAGTAATGCTTCATGAAATACAATTCATAAAATGCAAGACTTATCTCTTAAACTGTCTGGACCATAAATGCTGTCTAAATATACTGACTTCGGGAACTAAGGAAAGAGCTGGTGCTACATTAACACTGTTTCGGTTAGTGCAGATTGATAACTACATGTAGACAAGACGGTAAATTATACACTGTGTTGTTCAAGCATTAAAAATGGTCACATTTCGCATATGCCATTGTCTTATGAATATTCACTGTTTCTCCTACCTGGGTCAGGGTCACAAAGCTTGGGTCTCTGGTTCTTCTCTACAGCATCTCCCTCAGACCTCATGAATATTAATATTCTATTTGCGAATGCTACACACCCTGATTGGTTATTTACACTAGCCTTGCAACCAGTTGCATTCCACAAACTCAGAATAGATTATTTCTTGTGCGCGATTTATTTTTTTCATTAAAAATCTTAAATTAAGGAAAACACTAAATTGTGGTTAAAATTCAGGGTGCTCGATAGAAGAAGTATTTCTGGCAGATGCTCACGCTGATCTTCGCCTCGCTTTCGTCTTTCACGAAGAAATTAAGACCAGCAAACTCAAGATTTAATCACAAAGCTTTGCAATGAAAGGGAAATCCAGAATGAACAATTGTAAGAAGAGCTAACAGGGGAAAACTGTGCAGTCAATTTGCAAACCATATTAGCAACTGAGAAGCATAGAAAACGAACAACAAATATAAACATTTATCTTGGCTAGCCAGTACTTTCGCTTCTAGCTCACTTTTTTTTTAAATTTACCAATCTTCAAAATAAGTGCAATAGTTTTCTGAAATGTCTTCCTCAACTTTTCAGAGACTACTAACTTCTCAGACAAATACTACCTTCCACGACTTATCAAAACCGAAAATACATCCTCATCATTTCCCGTTAAAAAATTTATCAACAAATCTTCACCCCCTCTGTGGATAAGGAGCCCCCCCCAAAAAATTCTTTTTTACATTGCAAGGCATGTGACAGTCTCAAGGCTATGTCACAATTACTAGACTATGGCTTGAAATTACATACAAATTCACGGGTAGCGGCCAAGGCGGGCACCGTTGGCTTGTGTGTTACTTCAGGCCACAGCCAAGTCATTCAGAGAACATCCTACTTCTCAAATTGGTTCACAGAGACAGTGCTGCATGTAATGACTGTAATCATTGAAAATGCTCTCTAAATGTTAGAGAGTCTGATAACAAACCTGTCAAATTCTAAAAATAAAAAAAAAATCCTTTTTACTCTCACGTAACCTGTTGCCTTCCCTTCAAAACTACGTGTATTGGTGCTTACTTTTAAAAAGACATGCTGAGACATGTGAAAAGACTACAAATTGTATTCACTTTACTCTCCAACTTTAAGAAGCACTGCTTTTTGCAACATACTTTTTGAACTTTAAATTAGGCCTGTGCCGGGTATCAGGGTACCCGATGTTGACAAAAAAAAACGGGTACCCGGTTCAAAAAATATCCAGAAATGCACACCCCTACTTTAAATGCTGTTTAATTTGCTTTAGCTGCTGTAGTTCCTAGCTGTACACTTTTCAAAATTTCAAAGCAAATTTTTGAGGTTTTGATATCAGGGCATGTCCTAACTTCACATTTATCTCATTTGTTTAGATTCATATCAAATGGCATGTGCAGAATGTGACACATTTTGTAAATAAAAGAGCAAAAACAAAAGAATAGTAAAATGTGGTATCTTTCATTTATACAAATCTGGAATTGGGGGGTCCATTTGGAAATACATGTAGCTGGTGACCGTCTAAAACTGGTTGGTACATGCTTAGGAAACCAAGCTTGGCAACCAACGCTTATTTAGTCACAAGAGCCTGCTCGGCAACCAAAATGGCTTCCAAATGAACATGTTACTGAGCAAAATGAGCAAGTGTGGTCCTCTGCAACACACCTGCATATTGCCTAGACTAGTTAAAACTTCGGTTTGCTTCATTGAAGTCAAAACATGCTTTGGACAATGGAAGATACCACTTTTTTCAAGGGAAGAAGCACGGTGAAAGTATTATCAGTGCAAATCAGATGTGTGAGAGGTTACAGAGCTATTCACTATGCTACTAGCATGCGGAGGCCATGCCTTTGCAAATGGTCTGGCCTGCGGCCCTAGTGGGTGGCCGCTGAACGTATGTCGGCGGTTGGGCTCAGGCGGTGGCCATCGTCTTTCATCCCCATCCCGGTTAGTGGTGCCCTCGTCCCAGCTGTTAGTGAGGTCTGGGGTCATCAGGGGGTCATTATCAAAGACCGGGGGAGTCTGAGGGCCGTCCGTGAAGCGGCCGGGGAGGGTCTGGGAACGTGCCGAGCGGAGCAGGCGGAGGGCGGGGGCCTGTGCCTTTAGCTGGGAGGCGGAAACAGGAGAGGGGTTCAACGCAGGTTAACAAGTCCAGCGAAAGCATGAGCAGAACACAAGGGCAGCATTCAGGAAGGGGGAACAAAAAACAAAAGACAAAAAAGAATGATATTAATGACAAATGTTACTAACTGCAGGGCATGTGTACATGTAATAAAATACAATAACCACAAATAACAATTTCAACACGATTGGCTCTAGCAAACATTACCAGCCTCATCACTGTTATCGGCTAACTCAGACTAAAGTCATGCAAATGTACATCATGCGAACAATAAAGCAATCCGCCTTGAGCAGAAGCACCCCCTCAACGGTTGAAATGAGCCATATTGGCCGGAAGAGTTCATTTTGTTGGTAGCGATGTGACAGTAACTCGTGCATTTCATAGTCGTTCAGGAACCAGTGAAAGTACAGTTCCGACCAAATTGCGCCCTCTCTTGGTCCAGCTTGAGGCTCATTGACATAGTTGCTGCTACCAGGGGATTCACAGATTCCAAAATCATGTTGGGGCTTCACGGTGATCAAACAAAAACTTCCACAATGAGTTCAACATTTTCAAACTTCAATAGACCAGTAACTTCATGACATCGGGCTTTGTTTGCATGTGCACTTTCCCAGATCCAGAGTCCCCATAGGAAAGTGCACACGTAAACAAAAGTGTGATGCCATTATGTGTTAGGCCTATTCTTTGTGGCTTGGAACCTCTTTTTAAGAAGTCTGCTTCCTCTCTTTTTTTCAACTCTGCCAAAACATGAAATACAAAAAAAAACCAGTTGCAGGGCGAAAAACTGATAAATCATTTCCATTTCTTTGCTCTTGCTAAAATGGACTATTAAAAGCATTTTTACAACGTCAAAAACCTGATAATCTGGGGAGAGAATTGAAGAATGCTTAAAAACATGGATAACAGCAATCATTCAAGCAAAATACAGCAAAGGCTACAAAGCAGTGACAGGAACCAACCAAAGCTCCCATCTCTGCACGAGGCAGTTTCTAAAAAATTACTATAAGGAAGCGAGCAAAACTTCTCATTCCTGGCAACTATGTCACATGATGATGCCTCAAGCCTTATCTGCAAAAGCTCATAGCGTCTTGGTCATTCAGCAAACTTTACATGGCTAGCCAATCAAATTGCATGCATCTGTAGTCCGCGAGCAAGCAGCCAAGGACTAACCAATCCACATACTTGAAGACCAATGCTGAGCCAGAGTTCAAAAATCTCACGAGCCCATCCACTAAGCTTTGATCAGCTTGCTATCACTGAAACAAACTGTCATCAATTCTGCACCAGATTTCTACAGACCAAATGACAGAACTACCCTACGATGACAACATCCTGACAAGAATGCCAAGTCTAAATTCTACAGAAATGACAGAGCAGACTACCGGTGCTTAAGCTATTCACGGGCCTCTTGTCAGTTAAAAAACATGAGTTGGGGGGGGGAGAGGACAGGGGAACCATTGAAGAATTCTCATACCCAAACAGAAACAGGCACGTAGAAAAGCTCTCAGCGACAGCAGAGGAACGATCTATTTTCTCACTTGCACTTTTTTTCTTTAAAATTAAGCCTACCATCAGCTTGGTTCATGGTTCACATTATAAATCTCTTTTAGTTTTTAGCTTAGATTTAGTTTGGGGAGGGGACTGTGCGTCTGGTGTCCATAACACAATGAAGTTGGAATAAAATGATGGAACGTGACAACTTCAAAATCGCTCTGTAGTCCGCTGTCGGAAAAATTGCTGACAAGAGGCCGTAAGTTTAGTTTCCATGGTCAGAACAGTGTTGCTGAAACCTTCTGATGCCCTTTACACACAGAATTTATTAACACACTAGCTCAGATGTGACAAGCCCCATCAAGGTTGGGAGGAAATTTGTGACCTGACCCAACAAACTGAGTCTAAAATCACAAGAACCAATCTAGACTTTTCAAGCCTTAACAAATCTTGGTTTATAGTCGAAATCAACAGGAGCTGTCTACAGCTTTCAGTTATCAAAATAAAAAAAAGTGTGCCTGGGACTCCTTTTGCAGGACCCAGCTACTTTTTCCATTGCATTATGAGGGTTCACAGAGCACCCAACGAAACCCGTGCAAATTCCTACTCAGTGTGGGCCAATGGTATAGCATCAAGTATTCAACTTTTGCCCCAGCGAAAACGCAAGAAATTTGTACACTATATCAAAGGAGTGCACCACAGGCACCTGTGAACTGACTTTCAAACTTGGCTCACACGAACAGGTTCTCAAAGAACTGTCAGGTTCTTCACCGGCAACCCTGGCCATAGTGCTCTCAATGGTTCCTGGTGCCAAGCCACCGACCCACTAAAAAGGAATATACACATTGCCCTTTCCACGGGTCCATGCAGTTAGATGAATATGCCATTCATTTTGTTGCAAAGTGCAATTGGAAACAGGAAATCATATACATCCACAGTGTTTGGTTCTGGCAAAAATGAGCTAGTCTGCCACTGCACTGCGTATGTTCACACCAACGCCAGGGAACATCATGGAGACAAGGCTGCACACAGCACTGACTACTGTCTAACTATCTACTGATTTTTGTTTTCTTTTTTTCTTTTTCCATGCCAACACTGCAAACCCAATACCTGAGCTCCATCCGAGGCCCGCAGGCTCTGGCTTTTTTTCTTGGCCCGGGAGGCCGCCGGATCGGCCTCTGTGTCCGAGACAGCGCCATGATAGGGGTCGTAGCTGGTGTTCTTGTACGGGATACCGGGCATGAGGCGGTCCTAAGAAATGTTTACGGTGTACCGTGTCAAGTTGAGAAAACCTTGCTACTTTCAAAGTTTAAAGTAGAACTAGACTGTGCTTTTAACCCCTCCGTGTCGGTAATTCTTTTGACCGTAACTGCTGGGCTGTGGTATGTGGTATGGCTGTGGTCCATCAGAAGGCCCCACTGAACCAGCAGCTGCATGGTGAATAGACTATATGTGTGGTATGCACTTATCCTCACACAAAGCCACGACTGTCACCGGTTCCCGATGCGAAGGGGTTAATATACAGGTACACATGGAGAAAGGATAAATATGGCACAAACTATAAGAACTTGTGCACAGTTCTATTAATGGTTAGACAGAGTGAAAAGACTCTGAAGAAAGTCTGAGCGAGTTATATCAATTAGTCAGCCTCCTCCCCAGTTTGTTTTTAGAAGAAATAAGACTGGTGTGGACCTAATCTACAATTTCACTAGGCAGTGCTTTATGATGACTCTGTCAAGTGAAAAGGAACAAAAACCACCTAGTATTTAGAAATTCTCTTAATACATACCAATTTTTGTAAATTTTGACGGCAAATTTACCTTAAGAGCTCTAAAATCCTCTGGGTTGAGTAAAGCCACCATTAGCTAACATGTGGCTTGGTGCCCCTTGAAAGTTAATGCAGGAGGAGGAATGTACCTGTACCCATTTTACTGATAAAACAGTGAGAGATTTTGGAAGATTCCTCAAGAAATGTGCCTGGATGATCAAGGCCCAATGTATAAAATTACAAAAAACCTAAAAAATTTCCCCCAGACGCAAGACCAGGCTGCACAATCCTGTAGGACTTTCACTGGGGCTACAAATATTGCATGGGGGATAGAAGTGAATGAAGTTTTCAGGAGAATTTTGTCTGTACCATTGCGGAAGATTTCCGGTCGTCTCCAGCCATCAAGCCTTGTTGATCAGGCACTGACCTGGTCCTCCGCATCGGGGAACCGGGGATGATTTCTCCTGTCCGGCTAATGGTGTGGTCTGTGATATGAAGAGAGGTTTGGGCATGACACAATCACTGTTCTGTCTGTCGCAAGATTTAAAAGTTGACTGATGTTACAGTTTGGCATGGTTTATTAGGATCACACTAATGAGCCGCCGATTTCATGAAAGTTTTACCCAGCGGCACAAGGACACTTTAAGTCCTACCGGTATGCCACATTCTATTGCGCAAGTTGTGCAACAAATAATGACACACATAACAAAAGTGTATGTACTGCGAACGTAGATGATGCGCACAACCAATTGTGGTGAAATTTACACAACTATGTCAGGTGGCGTAAGTTGCAGTAAACAAATGAAAAATGAATGAAAAACTTGTTTGGTTGAGGGAAAACTGTGACATTTTTTAATCAGTTCTGACAAAGACAGGAAAACAACTTTTCAAAATGGCACGCAGAGCTAATTTAGCAACTGTGTAATGGCTGCTGCAATATTGAAATGGACAGCTGTTGTCGTGGTAATCATCCTAATTGACATTTTAGGACATTTGACACGGGGTAAGTAACAATTAAGAGCCTTTTTCTTTGAAAATGGGCATTGTATGCCTTTCTTTTACCTTTCAAACATTTCTAGCATTACAATGATCATTTGAGCAAATGCCTCTATATCCACACCTTATATGGCTAATAAATAAACAAAATAATTTGAGCCGTTCCTATTGGTCAGCAGGTTGTCAGGTGACATGGTCCCTGGTGCTACTTACATTTAGATTCAGGTCTAGGTCCCTTGCTCCTTTTTTCATAGCCTCCTATTGTGTGTCTCTTGTTGGCAGGGTTACCGTCACCATACCAGCCTTGCTGGCTTGGTCCATTCCGTACTAGGGGAGCCAACAAAAACAATTTTAAAATACTTTTGAATACTTTCCAATCTACGGTGCCCTTGTGACCAGCTGAAAGGCCATGTCTGAACTACTTGCTGCAGCCCAAAATTGCACGAGAGTCTATGGTAGTGGCAGCAGACAGTTCCCATAGTCTTGAGAAATTTTAAGCCACAGGCAGATAATTGGGACGCGACCCAGTAAAAACGACTGCGGAAGGTGGCAGCAGCAGTGTTGTTTCAAGCCAAAGCCGTAACTTTGGAACATGGCTTGGGCTCAACATGAGACGCCGCTCAAGATGTAACTCTTCCAAGTACCTGGAAGGTAAAGCAACCTTACCTCTCTCTTGTGGTGGTGCACGACCCCTTCTGTGGTTCGTGGAAGGGCTCGAGTAGTACTGATTCTCCTGGTTGGGGTATATCTGGGGCTGCTCCATTTGCTGCATGGGGGGTTGCTGGTAGCGGGGCTGGGGATGGAGGATCTGAGGGGAGGCGTGGTAAGATGACTGGGCAGTGGACGAAGCCACCGATTCCAGGACGGGGGACTGTTGGACCTGCTGCTCTTTGATTTGCTGGAGAACAGAGGAAAAAAATTAAACCCTTACTTAAAATACAGCAATGACGAACTCAACCGACCTTACCAAGGGCTTTTGGGGTTTTATGGCAAAGAGTCATAACCACAGACAATGAACACCCAATCCTGACAAGATCCCCCATATGAAGCAAGATATGAGATGGAGAGAACCCCCCCTACTTTGTGTTGGTCATTGTCTCATTGGAATCTCAGGATTTCTCTTCAGACATCTTGGGGGGATGAGTTACATGTAGGTAACAATATTCTAGAGTGTGTACATGTGTGGACATGTTGGGGGGTACCCCTCGGTTTCATTTCTTGCTGGATATAAGATCCCCAAAGCATTCTGGGGATGGATTGGGACAGATAACCAGAGCTAACAGAAGATTTCTTCACTGTCTTTGACAGTCTTCCTTTCAAAGTGCCAGTGCCCGAATGCAGTATTCCGCCAAGATGGCAATATTCACATCTTACGAGATGAGGTAACTATACAATTGTACACTCAATTTGAAACTTCCATGTTCTGCTGCAGTGCAAAAAGACAGCAACTTAAAATACTTTTCATATCAAGCGCAGTCTTTTTTATGTCTTTGTATGAAACTAGCAGGATGTAAAATCATCAAGTTACTTTCTGGGTTCATCTCCACATAGCAATTTCATTAGTGTTTGCCATGAACTTTCTTTAAGATGAAAGGTTCCAGTTCAATATGACATCAATGAGCAGGCATGCAACTTGGACTTTGACAAAAAAAATGAGGAAATTCCAATTTTTACAAGACTTTGCACAGTGTTTTCAATTTTCTAAGGCATGAGTACGAAGTGAAAAACGAGGAAATCAGCTGATCCGAGGAAAAGTTGCGTGCCTGAGTGAGACATTCTTGTACAAACCTGGGACACCAAGCCATGATTAAGGTACAAAAGGTGGGTTGTTCAGTACAGAATCGTGCAAAACTGAAGAAACCCAAAAGTGGAAACTGGCTGATTCGAGAAGGGTACAGGTGAAAAAAAGTTTCAAGGGGTAGGACAACTTTTGATTTCCAAGATAATTAAACCTCTTTTGGGCTGAAACAATACTCTCTCTATCCAACTCTCCTGATTTGACAAGAACATCTCCCGATCTTCTTTTTTGATCAGGCATTTTTACATTTCTACACACCCGGACTTTTTTGATGCTGTCCTCTCTTCTGCGCAGCGGCGGGGCAGATTTCCACCCGCTGTCACTGGCCGCCGCCGGGGTAGCAGGCGATGCACTGATGTCATGCGATAACATGGTGTCCAGGTCTGTAACGGCGTACTGCTTGGGGGTACGGGGCGACTGTTCACGACGATGACGTTGGATCTTCTCTGGGTAGGCTAGATGAACAAAAGGAAGAAGAAATCAAAGTTGGACCTAAGTACTTGTGAACAGCCATTTGCAAGTTAGCTATATGCGTTGGGAGACATATTCTGATTCCTCACACTTAATATACCCCAATGCCATGCAAAGATGTCACAGATTTGTGCGCTTTGAGATGAAATTAGTTGTGTGTACTCTTCAATGTTTGCCCCCAGGCCTGGATTGCACTGTGGGGAAGATTTCTACAGTTAGGAAAATTTTAACTATGTTGTGGTGAAGTTTGAATGCCCATCTAACATGTGTCTGGTTCCAATGACTATTATAAAATGCGTGTGGCCCCCATCAACTAAGGAGTACATGCTCCGCCTATCTCCTAGACTGGTGCTAGCATGAGCAGTCACACACTATTATCCACTGTGATCATGTGTCTGGGTTCCTGTCTACCCCAAATACTGTAATGGGCCTGTGCTGCAATGTCACCAGCAGGGGCACTGCTTACTTTCTGCGGGTCCCGTCCTTAGTGTCTGCATCTGGTTAGCCAGCTGATTTCTCTGTTTGTCCAGGTTTTCCAGCAGGGATTGGACCCTGGTCACCTCGTTCTCCATCTGGAGCCGCTCCTTGGTGTTAGCGCCCTCGTGCTGCAGAAAAGGCAAGATTGTATACTGCTCATAAAATGAACTCAACAGTAGGGCTACCGTGAGTTTTATACAGGATCTAGTAATGCTGACTGAAAACTACTACTTGTAGTAGTCGGCAGTCAACATGTTAAATTCCAAAATATCCAGCCCCCAAGAACAAAAAAGACCGCATCAGAAAATGCCACGTATTCACCTGAGTTTGTGTCTATGAAAGTCACACTGAGGTCAGCATAATGTTTCCACTTAAGTTCAATCCCAAACTGCGAACTATTGAACAGCTCCGTGACACTGGATGCAAGGTGTGAGAAGTTAAGAGCGAGTCTGCGAGCAGATCTAAGGCGCAAAAAACTTACCGGACTTTTAGTACTCCTCTGGTGTTGCGCATCCAGCTTGGATCTTAGGAGTGACACCTCATATTCAATCTTCCCATTCTCAGCAGCAACCTCCTCCAGTTCCTAAAGGACACATGAAAGTGGCATCACAAAATTGCACAAAAGAGAGAACGACTCCCACTCAACGCGATATCTTATTTCCGACGCCAAAATGCAATGCGCCCTGACAGGCAAATTGAATTTGAAATTCAATTGTAACTTCCTTAAACCTCCTTTGTGGGTTTCAAGAAGATATTTCTCGCATGACTTCAAGGTAATGTTCCAAGTTCTCCAAGATTTTCAATAACAGTGCTACCAGATTCCCAACAGGATCTCTCTTAATTGTTTTTGAACTGTTCATAAGTCGTAATTCTGAGAATGAGACAGGCCACGAGAGGTGGCTCCTGCCAGACTACATGTACATCCAAAACTTTGGATGTCCTGATGACCTGCGGCTTCCAATGACTGCCAAGATTTTCTAGGATTCTCTCACCCCACTTCTGTGTCCCGTTGAGCTTTTCCAAAAATTGAAATGAACATGAGAATCCGCACCTTTCCACGACTTCAGTCGAAATTAAAGACTTTAATTGGGTTCTCTGTGGCACTTCTGTGCTTTCCCTTAACTTCACCTAGAAATAAAAATGATCGTAATCTTGGTACAACAGCAAACCTTTTTCCCCTCCCCCTTAGTCACTGACCTTTGTCCCGTTGGCCAGCTGTGTCCGAACTTTCACCAGGTCCCGCTCCAGCCGGTGCTGCTGGTCTTCCATCCCAACCCGGATGTCTGGCTCGTCCCAGTGCCGGTCCATCTGGCGTCCCAGGCGGTCCAGCGACGCCTCGATCTTGTCCTTGTCCTCCTTGAGGAGGGAGACGTGGGCCGACATCTCCTGCAGCCTCTTGTCCAGCCGGTGCAGCTGGCTCAGTTTCTCCTGTGGAAACAAAATCAAAAGGATGAAGTCTTTTCTGTGATTTCCTTGGGCAATGTCTGCTTCTTGGCGTTTGATATGCTGCAAGTCGGACACTTCACAAGTATTTCACTGGTACTTGAAACTGCTTCCCAAGTAATCTTAAGTCGCGAGCACACAACACAGAGGTGAGATCCGTGGAAATTGAAAATCCACAAAATAATCACCAGAGCTTTTGAGGGTCCTTCGGCAGCAAAGGATCTACAGTATACCTTTACAGACCTGCCAACCTTGCCATGCTCCTTCCTAAGGTCGGGCATTACCACACAATAGATTAAAAGGTATTAAATGAGCCTACAGTTCATTCAAAATTTTAATCTATTGTTTGGTCAGGCCTGACCTCAGGAAGGAGTTGGCAGGTCTGCATTTGTGTTTGCCTGAAGGCATCTCTTAAAATACCCATTTCTTGTGTTCTATATCAACTGCTTTACGTAAAAAAAATTCCTCTCCTATCGTTCACGCACCATTAGTTGTAACAGTGGTTATAATGCTACCTGTGATCAGTACTTGCATAATACTTGACCCCAACACGATTTTCGTTCCCTTGTTTGACAATTTCCAAGACTCTCTTGGAATTTTCGGTTTAATTCTTGTTCTTTGATGTGAGGTTCTGTTTTGGTAGCCAGTCAGACAGGCCAATACCCTCTACGCAGAGTGCATCAACAGATGCAAAATGCTCTTGACTAAAACCGCAAGTGGAGTGTTTTGATGCGGGAAGATCACTTCCTAATGAGCACATTATCAATCTTTGGATTGTGTGGTTACTTCAAACGGTAGTGATGTTCTTGCAGGAGAGTAAAGGGTAGGTTTAAGACGAAAATTGGAAGATGTTAAGGGGGGGTTTAATAATTACATTACAATAATATAGAACAACTTAATAATAATACTAAGTCAAAGGGGATATTATTCAAACAAAACAGGGAACAAACTACTCTAAAATATTAACAACTACAGGTACCTGTATGCTCTATCTCATAGGGATACAAGAGGTAGGTGAACATACATGTATGTGAGAATGGAGAAAAGGGCTTCTTTGAAGCCTCTCAGAAATTTCATCATCCTACTGTGAGCATGTACTGGGGCAAGGTCTAGTTACCTGTTCAGCTGAGCAAGCCACAGTTACAGAGGATTTTCAGTCACGTGCCTTTTGACGGTCAGCGTTCAATACGGTTGATTCCAGTTAGTGTGCCGCCAAAAGAGTTCACAACGAGGTGGCCACTGTACACAATGTGCATTTGAACGGGTTGACCGGCAACACACATTTGGAAAGGGTCAACACATCTCATGCATTGTGATTGGCCAATGAATTGCAAACTCTTGGTACAGCACTAATTTTGAATTGCCTGTTTTAACGCAGACTAGCGGAGAAACGCTTGCGCCTTTGAAGTCTCTCAACATTCCAGCATACATGAATTGCCTACAGAAATACACAGATTCCAAAATGCTTCCTGAAATGCCTTTGCCCATCACGTTACATCAAATGAAAATTCTCTGTCAAATACAGGGTGCAGTAAGACATACACAGAGTATGTAGTTTATGCAACTTGAAACCAGATAAATAGAGAGGACGGGAGAATGCCTCATCATTTTCAAAAACTCAAAATATCACAGTAACATTCACAAGTACCAATTTCTTTTAGGGGGATTCCAGATAGTAGGGTTCAATTTTTTGTGTGTGTCCCTGTCACATCTGACACACTAGTATGACTTTTGTATTAAGTTCAGAACAAAGGTTCTACTTTCTAAGAGTGATGAATTAATGCAAATTACCTGCCATGCAAAAAGTAATACATGTAGTTTGAAATCAATTCCGGTGATATTTCCATGTCAAATAACAAAGGTCAGATTTAACAGGGACACAAAAATGTCACACTTTTGGACCCCTAATCACTGAAATTATCCTCTAATAAACAGTCAGGTAACCAAGGAGGCCAAGCATACATGTAACCCCAAAATCTGTAGCACAGTGTGAACTCTGGGAACAAGGGAACGACCCAACACACCCAAAGCAGAGCAGCTGCAAAATACCTGTCGTATGTTACATGTCCAATTTTGGTAAGAGGCAACATATAAGGGGAGGGTCTGAAGACAGACTCGTTGGGGAGGGGGGAAAGGACAACGGGACAATCTCAACAATATTACCTGCTGATGGAGGAGGTATAAAATCTGAGAGGACAGTGAGAGATAGAAACAGAAATAACGGCAGAACTCTGTAAATAGCATTGTCATCCAGAAGTCATCCGTGTTGACTGGAGAAAATGGTACCAGTGAATCTTAACCCCTTCGCACCGGTAATTGTTTTGACCGTGACTGCTGGGCTGTGGTATGCCCTGAATGGAGGGCTTTGTCCAGCAGCAGGCCCCATTGAACCAGCAGCTGCATGGTGAATAGACTGTATGTGTGGTATGCACTAATTCTCACACAAGGCCGCGGCTCTTGCCGTCTCCTGGAGCGAAGGGGTTAAATTCTGATATTTTACTTTTTTTGTCAGTATGTTAATAGCTGATAAATGAGGAAATGTGAACATGAGAAAAATAAGAGACTTTTTTCTGACAAACATTTCCAACAAACATTGCTCTGTTTTTAACCTTTTGGCAGTATTTTTACTTGTGGCAAACAAACCTCAATTGTTCAAGAAATGTCTATATTTCAGGGAAACTGTCTTTGTGATTTTACAGGTTCATGCAATGATGACACCTTGAAACAAGACTATCATTCTAAAACAGAAGAGCTGGAATATGAATTGACCCCTAACCTCTAGTAGTCTATCTTCAGCCGTCTGTATCTGCTGCAGCTCTCCCTTCAGGTCTCGGTTGAGTTTCTCCTCCTCCAAGCGGCGGGAGAACTCGATCAGTTTCTTGGGCTCGATGTAGTTCAGATCCTTCTGAACCTTGTCCTAGAAACAATCAAATTGAAGACATTTTTTTTTCTTAAATGAATTTCACGGAACATCTTGCTGATGCAAAACTTATCAAGCATCTCCCATCCTTTTCTCGAAAATAACTCCACCTACAAGACAGGTGATCATCTTGTTGAACACCGACTGTTCGCATGTCTCTGGGATAGTGTTTGTCCCACATTCTCTGGCATGAATGTTCATCAAGACCTGATAGTATCCCATGCATGTCCAGAGTCAGTTTGAATCCAAATCACTGAGCCCAACTCACCAACCGAAAGAAAAATCATCAGACGCGAGAGAAATGGAATGAAGGCCACCCAAGTACAACTGCCGCCATGCACTCGCGCTCAGTACTCCTCTGTAAAGACACTACCACGATGTGCCCATTAAAAACTGGTCATGCCAACTGCACGGTATACAGACCAAAACTTGCCAGTGGGTAATTCAAGAAATTGGGGGTACATTTTTTTCTGTGTCCCTGTCACATCAGACAAATGATTTTGTAAGTTCAGAGCACATTTTCTGATTTCCAAGAGGGATGAATTAATGCAAATTACCTGCCAAACAAATAGTAATAGTTTGAAATTGATTCAAGTGATATTTCCAAGTCAAATAACAAAAGTCAGATGTAACAGGGACACGAAAATGTCACACGTTTGGACCCCTAATTTCTGGAATNCTAGAGTAGCTCTGATGGTGACCCCCATGCTCAAGAACGTTCTTATGTAAAGACACAACCACTTTGTGCCCATTCTGATAAAAACTGGACATACATGTACATACTTCACAGTGCACACACGGGCAGCAGGCAACCAAGCAACCATGACGTGTCTCTCTCTCTCTCTCTAAAAAAAAAGTTGTCACTAAGCCAGAAAATACCTTCTACTGTTCCTCCATAAGAGTTCACTGAATACTAGAACCTTACCCGGTAGAACTCTTGGGCGATCATCTGATTCTGGCCGCCGTACAGGCTGCCCATGCGGACCAGATTGTCCACCAGGCGCACCAGGGGGCGACTGATCTCCAGCTCCCGCTCCACCTCCACCCGCTCTAGCGACAGCTCCTCCAGGAACTCTCGGTCCTCGCTCAGGTTGGGGTTGGAGCGACGGTGCAGGGAGTCGCTGTGCCTATGGGAATTGAAGGTCAAAGGTCATATGAACTAACAAGAGATGTGCTTCAACAATGACAGGTTTTACTCGCACCAAATACCTGTTTGTGTGACGGCCTGGTACTTGGACTGCAGAAACGCAATTTCTTTCAAGAACCAAATATCAAAACACAAATCATAATTTACCATATGAGCTGCCCACACACTGCCTTGCCCCATAAGGCCACAAGACCTTGCTGTTACCAACAGTTCCATCGTGCGAAACTGTTAGCTCTGGACTCAAATAGCAGAGATTTGGCTTAAATTGGAGAAACTCATCATCAAACATACAACCACAGAGAGGAAGTGGGACTGGCGGACCAACAGATAACACCAACCTGGCTCTCATACGGGTGGGGCTGCCAGGGGGCGAGCTGGCAGGGTCCGCCAACAGCGCCAACTCTTGGTCAATCATCTCCAGCCAGCGCTTGAGGTTAGACTGGTCCCGGCGCAGCTGGATCAGCAGCAGCACCAGCTCCTCGTGCTGCCAAGTACAAAAAAGAAGGTATTCCGACCAAAAGTGAGGATCGACAAGTTGAGGAAGCATTACAGTGGAATCAAGCGTGTCAAGGTGACTACAGTCCTTTCAGATAACACAATGTATTTATTGCAAACAGACATTCATAATCAGTTTTACGTGGAGACGTTTACATCCTGCTCTTCTCTGTTCTTACAGGTAAATACTTTTGCTATAAAACATCCAAAAAGAAAGATCCAAAACAGCTACTTCATCTTCTTATCTTATTTGGCCTCATCCCCCGAGTGTCACATGTTTATCAAGGTTGTAGCCAAATCCATTACAAGACCAGTCACAGGACCAGTTATAAGAAGAAGGATAAGCAATACCGAAAGAATGCTTGTCTTAATTCAACTAAACAGCTCATCACTTCGCTTAACTGTAGATGACTTGTGACAGACTTCCGAGGACTTCTGATGATTTTAACTGCTGCCTTACTATAAATTTCAGTGTTGACGATTACTGAGCCAATCTGTATCCAAATGTGCGTGTGAGAGACTGCATCTCATGAGACAAGTTTGGATTGTCCCTGTTTACCGATTTGCCGAGGAGGTCTCCAGCAGCGATGCTGAGGCGCAGTCGGATGCCGGTGGAGAGGAGGATGTAGGGCTGGGCCTTCATCTGCCACTTCTTGAAGCGACTGGTGGGCTCCCTCGGCTGAGGAGAGAAGACAGGTGGATCTTGATCAAGAGAAGAGCCTCTTAAGAAATCTCACTAAAAATAGCCAATGTGTGAAAATGATCCAAGAATGGAACAACCGGATCAAACCACAACTCTCTGTAGGAACCAAATGTTTCTAATCAAAATTTTAAATACTACATAATTTACTTCATTCCTACATTCATTTTATGGTCCAGTGACTTTTGACTTCTTTATTTCAGAAACTGAAACCCTTCATTCTTATAACCTGAGAGTTTATTTGTGTTCAGTTTTAAAATCTTCATGGTGCTCTTATTGCTATGTATGTGTAAATCTGTCAGTATTCCTATACAGTGAATTAGATGATTTCCTTGCTAGTTTAATTTTTAATTCAATGCATTGTAAATTTTCCCTCAATTCCGTCTTGGGTTGGGCGGGAGAGTAAAAATAATGGTCATAATATAACCTGTTCAAACTGTGTAGTGGTCTTAGTGTTTAGAGCATTGTTTTCTGATCACCTTCTGGAGGCGATTGCCTGATGGAGATTGACGAGGTTGAACAGAGCATGCTGTTCAGAGTGCCAAGAAGTCTTCTCACCTTCAGCTCATCTCAAAAACCAAGACTCAGTCCATAGAGAGATATTTCACGGTATGACCCACGAAGGTACTTCCTCGTTGACCACTCCATTGCGCAAAGCTTTCAAGCAACACTTAGGGTAAGTTTTTTTGCGACTTGAGGTATCAAGCACTCACCCCTTTGTTCGATCCGCTGCTTCCCGCGAGGGGTGCTAGCTGGTCTCCGCTGTTGAACTCGTTCCTCTCCAAGGTGTTCCGCTCGGAGCGGCGCTTGGAGTTGGCATTCCTTGCCCGTCTGGGGGCTATGTCTGCCTCCGTGGTTCCTTCTGTGTGGAGAGACACAAATCGCCCTTAAAGACATGCTGCAGGTTGCCAATAGTGGCCTTGTCCAAAATGGGGACAAATGCAAGCTGAGATGGGAAATGGAGACACGCGTATTCCTATAGTTACAATCATGGCAAAGTGTGTTACTCGAGGGCACAGTTCTCTCCTCTTTATTGCCTAGCACATGAATCTTCTAAGCCCTTTTCTCTACTTAGAAGCCCAGTGAAATTTGATTGAGTGCAAATTTTTTCATCTGTTTCTGACCTCTCACTGTCATGGCCTCCACAAGGTAAAAAAAAAAAAGAGGTGACATACCGACTCCCTCCTCGGTAATTGATGAGGCAAATCTCCTTGGCCGGTCATAATTGGCGGGCCTCTGCTCTTCTGGGTACCTCTCCTCAGAAGGCAGAGGAGGAGCGGAAGCAAAGGTCTCATTGGTGGGTGCCGAGCGCTGTATGACCGCCTCTACTTGCTGAGGTACATAATCTGACAAAGGCTGACGCTCTGCGCTGTGTTGAGCCGACATATCGCGGTCACTGTTCAACATGAAAGTTAGGCTTAATGTAACCGTGACTACATGTACGTGTCTCTTGGTAAACGTGCACACATTTTTACATTCAGCAGGCTCGTCAGACGAGCTCCAGGTACAGGTTTTGATAGTCTTGGCATTCAGTGTTGATTAGCTAACTACCCAGGCTGCTTTTTTTAAAATAAAGCTTACTGGATCTCTGAGAAATGAAGGCAAAATTGAGTGATGACAAGTTTGTAAACCGTAAAGCAGCTTGTTCGTTGAGGGTGATGTTGTTTGCTTGGGATTATTATTTGCTAAGCTATATTTTCCGCCCTGAGGGTTGGTAACAAAGGGACCTCCCAATTTCATGCATAAAAAGGATTGCTTGGCAAAATTCTGTGCTCGGCAAGAGTCAGCTGGGCACCAGTATACGAGAACTGCACTTGGCGTTGCATTTTGGCCGCTACCCCAACTTTGCTATTGGCAACTGCCTTCTGTGCTGAGCAGTGCTATGAGGTAAGCCCCCTGGTCCCAACCTTTCCGCCTGTCTCTCCCTGGCCCTGTAGTAGGCCTCGGGCCGACTGGTCGGCCACTCTGGCTCATTCCGTGGGTAGGCCAAGGGGCTGTTGATGTCAGCCCGCTGCTCGGGGGTCCACGGATCGTGGCCCGGCTGCGCCAACGGGCTCTGCAGGAGGGAGCGCTGCTCTGGAGTGACTTCGCTTGGATACTGCAAGCGAAAACATTTGACAAGTCAGTTTAATCAAATTCATGCGTACAAAAATGGCTCAGGTTACGGCTGTGGTGGAGCTGAGCAAACATACTTTTAAATAGAAGAACTGCACTGTGTCAGAGGTCATGAACATACAGACTGGTTGGTGCAGGAAAAGGAATGGCATCTTAGCGGTGCAGGGTTAGAGTCCCACTGAAGTCAAGTTCTCCCTCAATCCTAATTGTCCTCAATCCTCTAGCAGCCACTGGACTGAGGACTGTTATGTTTTCAGCATATTGTAACAAACTTCAGCATTCAGATCCATTTACGTAAGTAAAAAGCTGGGCTAAATGACGACTGGACCCTCATTTGTCACATGTTCTCCTGTGTAATAGATCCAACAAATCTAACTTTTTTGTTATTAAGTTGAACAAAGAAGTTAACTGAAGCAGGATTGGAACCTGCGACCCCTGGAATACCGTACCAGTGCTGAGTATCAACTGAGCTATCCAGCCCTATGTTGGTGGCTTGTCTCAGTTGTCGATAATTTGTTGGGGGGCACTAATCAGAAGCTATGAGATCTCAAACACCATGTAGCCAGGGATCAAGCCCAAATTACACAATGCAACCCGGGAAGTGATGACCAGGGCTCACTTGGAGAGGATACAACTTTTTGAATACAGATCATGAAACAAACTATATAGGGAAACTGACCAGGTGCTTGCAACTTTGGTGTGCGCCTAACAGGCTGCCTCACAATTTGTTATAGTTTGCCGTGTATCTAGCGCCTTGAGCGCCTTTCATTAGGTGGATACGTGTGCTTTTACAAGTCTCCATTATTATTATAATTGCAACTGATTAAAATGATGAACAAAATCTAACTTTTGTCAGTTTCTGTTCAAGATCCCTTTGATTCTTTGAATGGTGTCTTGGAGTCTGTTAGACAGTGTTCACTGCTTTCGATCAATCATAATTTAGACTCACTATTTCCCCTGTCTTGGGAAACTTGAAATGTAATGGCTCCGGTGGACGCCTTCCCTGCATCTCTCTCCTCCCATCCTCTCCGGGTCGGCCCCTCTGGGGATCACTCCTTCTGTCCACCCTATGGTCACCTCGGGGGCCACCTCTTCTGGGGTCGCTTTGTCGAGGGTCACCTCTCCTTGGGTCATCTCTGGGGTCACGTCTCCTGGGACCATCTCGAGAGTCGTCTCTTCTTGGATCGCCTCTTGGGTCTCCCCTCCTTGGGTCATCCCTGGGATCAGCTCTCCTTGGCTGGCCTCTTGGGTCATGTTGCCGTGGGTCATCTGGACGGTCAAGGCTAGAGTAACCTCTGTGAGGGTCACCCCACCTGAGATCACTTCTTTGATCAAGTCTTGCATCTCTTCTGGGGTCACCTCTTGGGTCACGTTGTCTGGGGTCCCCCCTGGGATCACTTCTTCTGTTATGCCTCGGGTCACTCAAAGGGTTACCTCCTCTGAGGTCATCTCGTCTTGGGTCACCTCTCGGATCACTTCTTCTGGGGTCACCTCTGCGATCATCTCGCCTCAGGCTTCCCGTCTCGGGATCTACCCTCATCCTGCCATCCACAGAACCAGGAGCAGAGCCAGGTGGCGTTGACACTTTAGAGATATCCGAGTCAGGCAGATCTTGTGCCAGGGGATGATGCTCCGCAAAGTTGTGGCGCCGGGCATCTGGACTTCTATAATCGGGAGGCAGGGTTGCCCTTTGATGGCCCTCCCTTGGCAGTGAATCTGTGGAGGACCTTTGCGGTTGTGGCCTCCGATCGCGATCGAGTGACCTCGTCCCTTGCATCTCCCGGGGATCACGCCTACGGCCTTCGCGGTCCCAGTAGCCCTGCGGTGCGGGCGACCTTTCGCCACGAGAGCTGTGTCGAGAATCCGACTGCGAATCTGAATCCCGACGGGGACGCTGGTGCCGCTGATCCAACGAATGCATTCTCCTGGGGTCATCGTAAGGGGGTCTCCGCCCACCCCCTCCAAGTGGATGAGATGTAGGCTCACCTGAGGGGCTTGGTAAAGAGTCAGTAGTTGAGGAGTCATAATGTGGCATCTGGTGACGGTCCAATGATCCACCTTTGTTGGAGTTTCTACTGCTCTCTGGAAACTGGCCTTCCTCTATTCAAAGAAAAATACACAAATATTCAGAACAAATAATCGTTCCTGTGGTGATTCTGCAGCATTCGCAGTTACATGTCTGTCACGTTACAGGAGTCTCACCATTTCATGAAAACAAAATTCCTTGATTTTTCCAGAGTTTCCAAGAAGAATTTTCAAATTCACGGACAATCAAACATGGAACTTGGACTTCAACAAAAACGAGGAAAGCCTAATTGTTACCAGAGTTTATACAGTGTTTTTCAATCTTCAATGGCATTGAGTGTAAAACAAGGAAACTAGCTGATCTGAGGAAAAGTTGCATGCCTGATAATGATTTTAACCTATTCAAAAAAGTGCTCAAAATCTAAAGCGTGCTTTATAACTAACCTTATGATTTGTAAGCTTAGTGATTGCTGTATATTCTGAGAAAAACACTTTTCTAGGATCACGATTTCAAATCAAAAGTTGTCGTTTTGAATTCAGCATTCGGGATACGCTCTCATTTGGTCAACTGTAGCTATTCGATTCTGTGCACCTAACCAATGAATTATAGCAACTGACCACACACATGCATCGTGTCAATCCTTGCACACACTTCACCAAATTGAAAACGAACTGTTAACAGCAATTTCCAAAAACATGGCCTTCCTTCGTTAGTTTCTTCATAAAGAGAACTCACCTAGAAAATTATTTCACAGGGAGCTTAGTCCAACAACCATCTTTAAACCAAACATGCTTTTCAACAATAATTTGCAAATGTGGGACTGTCCCTTTAACCCTAACCCCCTACATGTAGGCTTCTGCATTAGAAAGCATACTCAACCTCACAAAATCCAACAGGTTCATGTACTTGTCTGTGTACTTGTACATGCAGCTCACTGTACCAAACCTGATCAAGTCCAACAGAATGAGCCCGTTGGAGTTTGAGTGACATGGTGTGGATGGGTCTATGCAGTATGGGATGACTTGCACTGAACAGTACCAAACCTGACAAAATCAAGCATAGTCCAACAATTGATACACCAAGCCAGACACTGCACACAATGAACCCCGTGTGTCCCAACTCACAAAGAATCCAACACCCATCCCAAGTCTCACAAAATTCAACAAGTTCATCAGGCACGGTACCAAACCTGCCAAAACATCACAAAACTTGCTGTTGGTGTATGGCAGGTTTGGGGTAGTACGGGTTAAAGGACAAGTCTGATCATGCAATGGCTCTGTTAGTCTTACCTGTACTGCTGCGTTCACGGGATTTGGACCTTGGTCTGGGCAGGGTGTTGTAGGACTCTGGGTACTGACCCGGAGAGTGGGGGGCAGGCCCATTGCCCCGCCGCCCCCCACCAATTGACCGGCCCGGCCGCTGTCCGTCGTCTCGGCTGGAGACGGACCCACTACCCCGATCCCAACTGCGGCGGGGATCCCCGCCATGTCTGTCGCCACGTCTGCCACCGTGTCTGTCTTGGGATGCCCGGCTAGACTGAGAATCTCTGTGAGAGTAAGAATTTTTCTTCATTTTTGTTTTCATTTTTCCTTTGTCCATACATCTACTGTACAATCACTGGAAATCTTCTTTTCCTACTGTTGTTCTGAGATATGCAGTATAACACCAGTAGGAAAACAAGTTATTCTGTCGACCTCCAAACTCCAACTCCACTATGCGCCAAAGAGTGAAACTATTAAACAATTTCACTTATAATCAGATTTCAGACACGACTGGCAGAGGACTTCTGTTATGCTGATTACTCTCTAGATATTTCGGTTTAATCTTAATTTCTGGAAGAGATAAGTGTCTATCAAGTGATTGAGTAAAGTGATTTTTTTCTTTAAAAAAAGCTGCTAAATTCATAACTACATGTACATGTAACTGATAGTGGTTTCTATTGGAATCATGCAACTGAGAGTGTTTAAGAAGAGCCTGTAATGGGCACAGAATAACAAACAAACTACCAAGTTGTTACAACTATCAGGGACTTGGACGACAAATTAAACATTGCTACAAAAAGAAATACATTGAGTTACTTTGCCAGTTTCTGTATGTACAATGTCTATGAGACTCAGGGAAGAGATTGACCAATGATAAAAATAGCTGAAAGTAGCTGAAAAAAAAGACATAAAGAAGCTGAACTGTGAAAATCTCCTTTATTTTTGCACACAGCCAGTGACCAAAAAAAGCTGAAATGAAATTAAAAAAGGCTGAAATGAGCTAAAAAGCTGAGAAATCTCACCCCTGGAGACTAAAATGAGGACCTTGATCAGATATCCGCTGAAAATAATGAGTCATTTTTTTTCATAAATGGGTTTCAAGCAAACTTCTGAAAATTCACAGAGCCCACTAAGTCAACAAAGATTTCTTCTAACCTTGACCTGGCCGTCCCTCTGTCATCCTCTGGTGATGCCGAGTTAGGATCCTTTCTTCGCTGACCGCTACCTGGCCTTTCCCGAGGGTGGTAGCCCGCTTCATGCATTGGCGCCACTGAGCTGACCAGTCTCTCCTCTGTGGGGATAATCTGCCTGTCCTGGTCGCTCTCCGAGAGCGAGCTGTACCTGTCACGTCTTGGGGGGTCCTCCAAGCGCTCGGATGGTTCCTGACCATCCTGTTGCTGGGGTAATCGAAGCGTGGCGTATCCACCTGCATCCATGTCAGAAGGCGGGTGGAGAGCTCCGGGCTGCGGGGGTCGGTCCCCACTACCCCGTGAGTTGTATCTACTCCTCTCACCTGGTTTTTCGTCGTCATCGTGGTGGAACTTCCTCCTGTCATCGTGACCACTGTGGGGGTCTCTCCCACGGTCCATCCCAAACTCCTCTCTGTCTGATAGCTCCTTGTCATCCACCCGCTCACTGTCTGATTGGGACTGATGGGCTTTCTCGTCATCATCTCCCGCCTCCTCCTCCTCGTCACGGAAACGTTCACGCAGCTCTTGCTTCCCTTCCTCTGGTGAGGAGTATCCGTCAATGTCCTCATCAGGCGGGTAGTCGTAAATGGCTGGGGGGTTGGCACGCTCCAGGGCACTCGGTCCATGCCCCCTGTTCTTCTCTGGGTAGCGGCCGTTGTTCTGCACGTATCTCTCCCGTGCCTCCCAGTAGCCCTCCGGTGCATCCTCTGTGTAATAGTCATCCCCATTCCGGAAGTGGTGGTCGTTGGCCTCTTCTGGCTCCCGAGGCAAGCGCCCGTCGGGGTCAAACCCATTCTGATGCTGGGCCACATGGGGGTTGTCTTCATAATCCTCTCGCATGGTCCCGTTCAACTCCTTGGGGCTCCTGAATAGCCATTCCTCGTTGTCTCTCTCGTCATCTGGGGATTGTGAGTGGTGACCCCTGAATCGAGCATCATCATCATCATACTGTTGTCGCCTGTTTGGACAATATTAAATTAAATTCAATTGAAAATTTATTCATCCTCAAGAAAGGCAATTACATTATGTTTAGACAGCTCATTAAAGACATCGTGAATAAATTACCAACAAATAAATTACAAGCGATTAATTATATCAAAACACTCCCAACCAGCATATACTCGCCTTGATAAAAATGGTGTAAAAATATAATGCCTTATACTGTACATAAAAAGTTTAGACAATGAATTTAAAATGGCCAGTAAGATTTAAAATAACAAATATGGACCAAGAAAGTGCCTACCAACGGCTAAAAAGAGCAAATATCATTTGTTTAGAGATGTAATAGCCACGGTAAAGAACAACAATTTCCATCACTACTGCATTAAAACAGTGTCCTGAGTGCGCACCATGCTTCCATTCAATACAGAATTTATTTCAATCTCAAAGGGAGGAGCCTGTCTGCTTAGCCCCCAATTATAAAAAAATTATATCAAGCCCTTCCCATTCCTTTTTCACCAAATAATAGTTCGTGAAGTTTGCAAACATTTGCTTGACACCAAATCTTGTCAGGAACCTTTGTAAATCCTCCAAAAGCCTTCACGAAACAGTAAACTGATGTCACCTTCTTCAGCTATGACTTTCAATGGACTCAAAGCTTCTATTTAAGTATTTAAACATCTGCTGGAATCTCTACCTTCCTCAATCCTACAAAAACCATCAAATCCTCCTCAAAGGATCTTGAAGGTCTGGAAGAGTTGAATTAACCCCCTCCCCAACAAAAAAAAATGAAAAACTTTTCGATGGTTTCTCGATATTAAATCCTCAAATCTTCTCTGTAGAAAAAGAGGTATTTTTTCGGGCGTACAGAAAATGTAAGCAACCCCAGTACAGTGAATCCATGAATCCAATGTGTCGGTTTCTCCTAATTCACTCACCTTTCAAGTTGTGCATTGGCAGCCAGCTTCATGGCTCTAATCCATTGATTCATGTCCACCTGGTTCTCTGCCGCAAAGTAATACGTCCTCATGTTTTCGTGCTCACACTGCAGAAAATATTGTTTAAAATGCACAGGTTGTAATCAAATGCCGAAGACCCTTTGCCATTAGAAATAAAACTGTTGAGCATGTAAATGAATATTCGTGAAGCACAGTTGGTCAAATATTGCAATCTGCTCCAACTGGGACTGAGGGAGGGCGTACTTTTCTTAGTAACGGAGGCTGCTTTGGTGGGAACTATACTTTGCTGATTACAAAATGACAACAAAATGCACGCATTAAGGTCGCGTTGCTACCAACAAAATAAACAACTCCAAGCAACATGGCTCTTTTCCAACAGACGAAGGGGTGCTTCTGCTCAAGGAGGATGCTACAAGGGCCTTTCCAATTCAACCTCCTAAAAAAAAGGTGGGCATACTGCTTTTCATGCCAGCATATGACAGATTGTTGAGATGTTTGGAACCATCTCTCCAAAACGTCACGTTCAACCTATTTGTCCATACAGTGTATTACCGGTACATGTACCTTGAAGGCATATTTCCGGGTGATCTTGTCCTGTGGACCGACTGGGCTGATCTGATAGCTGGGAAGCAATATGGAACCTGATTCAGACCTTGTTTTGTCTGACCCTGGATGGCAAGGGAAAATCAAACAGGGAAAAATTTGCATACCATCATTTATGGCTGAGTGGATTTTATGACTTGCAAATGGTATATCAGCCAATTACACACTGCACGTGAACCGGACCAGGCTATTTTGCACCGTAAGTGACATGACTTTTTAAACTGTATTTTCCATTGTCAACCCAAGCAACAGTTTGGAGTAAAATTCTGAGGATTTAGCAATTCAAGTGACACCAAAAAAAAATCTGGGATCCAGATTTAGTGGTTTCAGGTCATAAAAAGGTTGAAAAAATCTCATTCTCAGAGTTCACGTGCAAAAGTGCAGACATAAAAAAGTGGATTTTCTTTTACTATGGCTTTGGAAATGTTCACTTGACTTAATTCAGCAAGTCTGAAAATAAAACAGTGCTGTTTCTACATGAGTGGCCAACAGTAGAGGAAAACCGTCCATGCTGTAAGAGGTTCTGAATGGACCAAATATGGCAGCACCAATGCATTTTGTGCTTTTGTGCTGGTGAAGTGTTCTTTGTTATTAACTCTGGGGCAATTGTGTGGGAAAACCTTCTGGAAATCTCTGAAATCCCCCACTGTAAAGGAAACCAGTGGCACATTTGTTGTACTTTACAACAGGGCATCGAGTTCCGTTCAAAAGATGAGACATGGCCAGGTTGTAAAATTTTCCAGAGCTGCCAAACACTTCCTGGTGGTTCTGGAAGACCTTTTGAGGGCCACCAGGCTTCTTTTTCAAAGAGACTTGACATGAATTTCAAATGAGATCATATCTGAAACAAATACCAGAACTTCTGCCTCTGGACTGTTTTAAAAAAATGGGAATAAATCCTTTTTCTATTTTTTGTCACTTTTCTACATGTAATTCCAACAGTGAGCAACCTCTCTAGTATTTCATTTTTATTTCATTTGATTTCATTTCATTCGCCTTTCCAAGATACAAAAACACGCAAATACAAAGAAAGGTGGAGCACAGACATAAAGAAAACCAATCATTGCGAAAAGCAGGGATAGCAAAAAAAAGTTCAGAAATACTTATTTCCGTTGCGGTCCAGATGGAACACTCCAGGGCAAGTTCTTTTCCTTTTTTGTTTGTTTATTTTTGCTTTTCAAAATTTCAGAATCTGCAGTAATACGAAATGAAATGTGTACTTTTGCTGCACAATGTTTAAAATGGAATTCCTCGTTAGCCTGGCCATTTTCTGACAACTAAGGGCACTATTTGCACAGTGCCACTCCAGCCATTCAATCTTTCACTCCAGGGTTTTTTCCTTGCGATACTGTAATCAAGGTCACTGACAGTAATGAAGTTTGAAGCATTTTATGTACTGTAGAACCGTTACTCAGCAGTGCCTTTGACCCTAATCCAAACAGTCCTCAGACTCTGAGCTGTTGAAGGATGAGGACTGTTATGGTGCAGGTAAGTAGCCAATACAAAACAGAGGTAGCCACATCAAAAAACAGTTTCTGCCAATTTTGATTTTTGTTCAAGCAGCTGTAAGACTACAGCCTATGTCTGAGATACGGTAATATCACAAATATGTTCAAGAATACAACAATTTGCATAGGGCACTTAAAAAACTCTAAGGCTCTGAAAACCCTTTGATATATACAGTAACATACATGTACAAACCCAGTGACAGACGATTTACCAAGCCAAATCAAAATATGAGTTCACAGGGCACAGGGGAGTGATTCCTTGAATTACACAAACAGAAATTTGATCGTGGACTTCTGAACCCAGTCTGGTCCCTGAAAACAAGACACTCTTCAGAGACCTGACATCCCACCTGCAGCTTTTTAGTTCTAGTACCTCGATTACAGTCTGTAATACAAAGCTCATCAGAAAAACCTTTGCTTTAAATCTCTTTGGAGGGAAAAACCAGACCTTAACATCAGGCTTTGAGTACATGCACATGTTACATGTATTTCAGAAGGGCGAGCAGAAAATCTACGTGTATACGCACAATTTTCTAATTTCTGGACTCGTTTTGCCCACACCTGTCACTCAAAATTCCACTGTATGCATACATACACATGTATTTCAACAGTTAAATGCCGTGATAAGAATCTGTGTTCGTGTTCCCATTTGCATTTCACAAGGTGTGAAGATATTTTTCCACTTGTGTGAAACGGCATGAAAAGGTTTTCCCACTGTGGGAAAATTGTTTCCACATTTTACAAATTGAAAATGAATTCTCTGGGAAGAGAAGAAGCGTGGACAGTTTCCCACTCACAGGTTAACTTTTAATTGCAATGTACTGTACACACAAGATTTACCTATGAAAAGCAAGAAAACAGTTTTATTCCACTCTTTAGTCCTCTTACAGAGAGGTCTTGAACCCTATTCCAGAGGTCTGACGCACACAAATTTCTAAGTTCTCGTCTGCAAACAAGCACATACCTTTATAATAGAATAGGCAGTAATCGGCCAGCACACACCATCGCTTACGCCATGCTTTCAACGCTCCGCTGTCCTGCTTGAAGAGCCAGCCCTCCATGGTCGCCACCGCATCCCGCCGCCGCTTCAGGGCAGGCGCTGACTCCTTGGGCACAATCCGCTTCCGAAAGCTAGGCCGCTCTGAGGAGATGGGCGTAGTCGGCGAGGTGGGCGTGGTAGGCTGATTGGGCGTGGCCGCCGTGGTGGCGTAGGAGGGAGAGGCCGGGTCGGAGGAGGGACTTGTGGCATACCGTGAGGGGTTGGACTGGGCGGGGTTGTTTGGAGTCATTTGGAGGGGTGCCAGTTTGGGACGATGGTAGGGAGGGGTCTCCTGAGTTCTTAAACAGGAAAGACAAAAAAAGCAAAGTTTGACTGCCATTGGAGGAGCTTCATATGTTCAGCAAGGTTTCAAGCGAAAAAGTAAGAAAAATCTTATCTGTGTGTTGACAACAAACTCACAAATAATGAGCCTTTGTTCTGAGGAGACCAAATTGACTCCCGAACAGATCTTTGATGACAATCCCTTCATGATCACACTTTCAGTGTCACGATGAACAACATTTTCGAATGCCCTTCTGATGGCAAAAGAGAAACAATGTGGGAAAGGAAGAACGTAACTCCTTGGACTTAAATGAATTTGATGCATTCTTCGCGATGATTACATGTACAGTGTGCACTGAAGTCCCCAAGAGTTTCACATCAATCCCACAAGTCATCCGGTCTAACAATCCAAGTCAAATTGCATTTCAAAGGAACTGTGACAGACATTCCAGTCTGACTTTTCATCCAGTTATGTGTGGCATGGATTTATGAATACAGCCGTTTCACAAGAGTGTGCCACCAAGAGTTTGCAACGCATTGGCCAATCACAAGGTGCGAAATTTGTCGAATCAATGCACGTTTGGAAAGGGTCGACAAATTTCGCGTGTTGTGATTGGCCAATGCATTGCAAACTTTTGGTGGCGCACTATTGTGAATCGCCCTTATTGACTTCTGATGGACCATGTTAAGGATCACATTCAATGCATGACTGTAATCAACCTTCCTTAATGAAATCCTAACCAGGATTTTATTTTTGTGTCTACAGTTACACTGTATTAAAGTATGTGAAATGATCCCCGTTTGTCCCATACAAAACACCACATTTTCTTTAAACACTCCATCATCACCAAGACTAGTAATGTGCACATTCTTGAGGGTGCCTCTCTATCTAGATGCCCAACAGCATAAATGAAAAACACTGAAGTCCAGGAATGCCTTTGAGGTTAATATTCCTGCTAACTACATGTACGTGTATGGGATATAAGACGCACGAAATCGTAGACTTGCTCTTCAATGCCTTTTTAAGGGAGCTCAATTCCGTATTCCCTATAAATGAAGTTTCTAGGGATTTTACCTGTCAATCAGGAAGAACTCATCATCGGCCTCCGGCTTGTGTGTGATGGGATGATTAAATGTTGTCTCCCCAGTGTGGTGGCTAGAAGCAGGAGACAACAGGAAATAAAAGTCCATTTTCATACTCATTTTTTTAATGCTGAGGAGAAAATTAAATTTTCTGGTAAAGGTTTAGCATGGCTGCAGTCTTTTTTTTCAAATTTCCCCTGACCGTACTTCCACTAGACCGCAAGTTTGACGTCACTGGACTTAAAAGGAATCCGGGCATACTCGGGAGACACTATAAAGCTTTGTTCGCCATAATCCTATTCCCCTTGGGTGTGTAAAAAAATTGACATTGATATCTGAGGATTTAGGGCTGTAGGGCTTAAAGAGAAGATCTGAGACTGTGCTCGCAATATACAGTTAAAGTGCGAATACACTCGGACAGCAAATAAATCACAACTGACAACTGCTAAGATTCCTCTAGTCCTGGGTAGGCCTACCATTCTTTTTCTGCGGCTGATGAAAGTATAATGTACTGGTCTGTGCTTTGACTCATCAACTACATGTACTGTACATGTACTGTACAGGTGCACTGAATGGTAGCAAGAATAGGCAGGGTCTTAACATTTGAAATTAAATACTCAAAGTCCAAGCGCATATAAACCTTCTTCCACGTCTGTAAACTACATGTATCCCTTTGGTGCAAGGGTAGTATCCTTTTTTATAATGGTCTAAATTTTGTTCAGTCGTTTCACAGCTGGGGCAGGAAACATGTCACACCAGTGCTTCTCCTATGATGTACAGTACCAGGACAAAGATGAATTTTTTTAATTGTAGTTTGGCACACTTGTTTATGGCTGGAGATGAGTTCCCTTGACTGGATAGAACTTGAGTTGTTTCGAAGTACATTTGTATGTATACCTGTACATGTAACATGCATTGACACTTCTGTTTGCAGGAAACATGTTTGTTAAATATACACTAATTACTGAAGGCGGTAACCATCCCACAATGCTTTTTAATGCTTTCAATTCCTTCACAAAAGTCTGTGAAGGGTATTAGCCTATCCAAGGACCCTGTGGGACACGTGAAATACATACATGTACATGTACATACATGTGCAGGGTGCCTGTATGTACATGTACAATGTGTGTACAGCACATGTACTTGTGTGTGTTTGCACATTGCCAGACCCTTCATGAATTCAAGACTAAGCTTCAAACTCCAACATGTCTAATTATTCCAGACATGTACAACAGATTATTATTTCTTCTTATACATGTACCGGTACATGTCCATGTACATGTATGTGCATGAACGTACAGTATACATGGCACACCAAAATAAATTAAGCAGATCTACGGAGGCAAATAGGAACTTGTACAAAAGTCTCACTGTCCTCTCGAGACTTTATTAGAGACATATTCACAGCCATACGCCAGCATCAACTCCACCATCAAGTCCACAATAACATGATGTTCTGAGAAGCTCTGCAAGTGTGGCATACCACAGTTAGTCATGGGCAGCACATGTGCATAATAATATAAGGTTTGCGTATATGAAGACGTCACCGATGTTCTTATTAAAGTGTGGTCTCTGGACGCACATTAAAATTCCAGACAAGTGAGCACATAGATTTTCAGAAACATGTGCAACCGACCAGTACAGGCTTCCAAAAGTGTTTTCACTGCCTTTCTACATTTATTTTCTTTGAGCTGACTGGTTCATGAATCAGGAATTGTGTTACTAGGCAACTGCTAAATACAGTAATTTGCATGGCAAATGTGGGCTCATCCATGTTTATGAATTGTATAAAAAGTGGTCATTACTCTTGAGTGGACCAAACTGTTTAAACTTGGTTTCCAATGATGCCCTTTTCACATGGACATGTCAACACATACACAATATTTACATGTACATGTAAGTATATGTATGAGAGCGAACATAAAAACTGAATGTACCAGTACAGTAGGATAATGAATAATGTACTGTATGTACATGTACATAATATTGAAACAACCATAACATACAAGCACATTTCTACATGCACGTTACATGTACAAGTAGGTTATTCAAGCACAGAGACACTATCATGAATTTTACTTAAAACATATCCATTTTATACAATGTATGATCTAAAATCAAGAAAATCTGCCATTTGCAGATTAGCAAACGTCTACAGCAAAAGAACACCAACCCTGACAAGATGGTTGAAATTCATGTGCAAAAAGGAAGAAAAATTTCATATTAACCACACGTACGGTAAATCAGTAACGTACTACAAATATACTCACAATTTCCTCACAAAACTACGGATCTTCCATATTCAAATAACCAGGAGCTCTTATAAAATGTAAAAAAAAAAAAAGAAACTTGTCCACCTCACAGCAACCGAAACCAGTACTTGTCTTAGCAGCACTTTCCAAGGCCCAAACCAAACACCCAGTGACGCCAGCCAGAATGTGTAATACACTGCTCTATCCCTGGTTCTGGCCCTGGTCGCTCTGGGAGTCCTCGCAGGGAGTCCAGACAACTGGCATTTGGAACATCAATGTCATTTTCGGTTGCACGCTGGTGACCGAAGTATTATTTACACATGTTGTCAGCAAGGTACAACTATATATAAACTATATGTACTAGTGGTAAATACATGTGTACAAAGTGCACTAGGGATATGAACAACGTGACATAGGGTTTTCATCTAGGATTGAACTATTACCCTGTCCCTTCTTAGCTATGGTTAAAAACTTGCTGTCCTCTCCAAGGAAAATTCTGGGAACTGGCGTCCCGTATTGTCTGAGGCCATAATTTCACTGCACCCAGATGCATTTTGGAGGGAAATGTGAAGGCTTGTTCACCAGGGAAGAAAGGCAGCTTGTCAATTTTGAGCAAGCAACAACTACCTGTCCAAATTCGTTTTTGGCCTCTCCTCAAGGCAGTGGACAGGTGGCTAGGTAACAATGTACTTTAAAACATTAGACGTTTCAATTTTATTGTGTGTGTGTTTTGTTTTTTATTGTTTTTTTTTAGCACAGGATAATTGATGAGCACTGCATATTGCACCCAACATGTACATGTAGATTCATACAAACACCTACAGGTATACATGTACATGCACCTTGCACATACAATGTACTTGTACATTTACTCAATGCAATGAACAGTATGGAGGAAAAACACGTACAGTATATGTAGAACATGGTTACAAGTATGTGCCAGAACATGTGCATATTTAAAGACTGGTTTAACTTACATGCATACATGCAATTAACCCAAACATGACCAAGGTCCAATTACATGTACATGTACCAGTACACACAATCTTATTGTCCTACATATTATGGACTGCATGTACATGTACATACGTGTATGCAGAACTGAGATCAAGCATCGCACAGCTAGACCCTTTTTTTCTGATGGGTTTAATTACAGTGTTATACTGTACTATTGTATTAGGTAATAAAAAAATAAACAGCGCCTCCTGTTTCCCGACCTTGCCTACTTTGAAGGTGCAGCCCTAATTTCATTTGGGGGAGGGGGGAATTGGAAAAAAATGTGAAATTGGAAATAAATTTATAGAAAAGGAATTGTCAATTGTAGTTTGAATGTAGAATAAAATGGCTCGTCAGGCTTATTTATGACATGCACACGCATGCATCTACACGTACATGTACATGTGTTATTTTCGAGTTCATCACAAGTCCTTTCACAAGTCCCTTCACAAGTCCAGTCACAACAATGACAAAGGAATGCTTTTGTCATAGCTAAGTTGTATAGCTTGTGAACTGGGGTAAGACAGAATGACATCTGATGGACTTGTGATGGACTTACAGGGACTTGTGAAGGACTCGAATACAACACTGACTGATGTACATACAAGTACATGTAGAAGTTAGCCTATATTCTAAAATGTTGTTTATTTCCTTTTAAACATACATGTACACGAATGCCACCCACCCTTTCTTCCTGTACTTTTAACCAGTGAACATTTAGCTACACATTGAATTAGTATTAAAATGGGTGCCTCCTCCTGCCCAAAAATTAAACTTTCCACCTACTTTCCCCGTTTTCAGATGGCATGTATTAGGAAATAAACAGAATTATTTATGTTAATTTGGTTTTGTTTGTTTCCCTTACTGCAAAGTGCAGTGCACGGACCGCATGAAGCAGAAGCACCCCCTCATCTGTTGAAAAGAGCCGCGTTGGTGGGGAGCGTTCATTTTGTTGGTAGTGATGCAAACGTGAGGCGCGCACGTCTTAGTCATTCGTGAACCAGCAAAGATAAGTTCTTACCAAAGGAGCCTCCATTGCTAAGAAAAATAGCACGCTCTCTTGGTCCAGCTCGGGGCTCATATTACAAAGGACCTCATACATACATACATACTGATCTCCAAATCAAGAAATGACAATATCCAAAAAGCACATGTACAGTATACATGTAAACACTAACCAAACTCCTCCCCCACATTAACTTGGATGATAAAGTCTTTTCAGCGAATAGCTATACGCACACAGGAAATTTGCATATGTAGTGACTGTTTGGGTAGAGCGCTGTTGCTGTTGGAAAATGAGAATGATTTCATGACAACTGTGCTTGAAAATGTACAAAAACACAAGTGGAGTACGGTCTTGCTTCAAAGGATTTTAATTGATTAATTGTAGCGCAATAAAATTGCTGCTAATAGGACACTGGTATACAAATACTGCACTAAATGCATGTAATCCCAGCCAGGGGCAGGGCACCAGTGGCCCAGACCAAGCACAATGCAGAGGTGCACAGTGCAGGATACAGGAAAGCAGGTCTGCCTGTGTGGTGAATGAAGATCATTATCAGCCCTAAGCGGTAATGTAAACATTCCAGAGTGTTGACTTGTGGCTAAGTTTTTGATATATTAAGTTGGCCAATAAAATGACATCAGTAAGCTTATAATCCCCCAAAACAGACAAAATATTTTAAGGCATCAAAGAGGGTGTAAGGAGTAGGTAGGGCCAATTCAGGGGAAAACTGGAAGAGAATTGGCCAAAATTTTCCTCCTAAAAGTTTCCGGTACATATTTGGTGAAAGTATACTCCAATAACAATATATTAAAAGGCCACTAGTGAACTTTCCTAAATTGAGTCAATTTCCATTTTATGTACAGGTACTTGTACCATATGTTATGTTTACTGATGATTTTTACATCACCAGCACTTTCAAGTTACATGAACATGTACAACCACTTAACAAATGACACAATTCTATTGCACAGTAATGCCTTCATTGCAAGAACCAATGTGAAAGCAGTACATACATGTATACATGTACATAAACCATGGCCACACCCACGGATGCAAAATCCCTTTTATCTTTTCCCTACATGAACACTGTTCACGCCCTTGAAACAGTTGCACACATGCAAACTGTACACATCAATTAAGGTCAAAGGTCTGCCCTGAAAGAAATTGTTCCCACGCAAACACAAACAAGGAATTTAAATCGACATTTTTTTTCATGTCAGATTTGACATCTCACTGTAGATACTTTAGAATCAATAACGTCTGTCTGAACAAGTAAGCCTACTCATTTTATTTTAGAAAAACCGCTTTTTTCAATACAGTAATCCTCAATTCCTTTGCAAAAGTGGGGTCTCTCCAAAGCTATTTCAGTGCAACAGCACGTACAAAAAACAAAGGCTGCTTTGTACAAACCTTTGTAATAAAGATTCATACAGAAACACCAGTGGTTTGTTGTTCGGTTCTAAATATACACACGTATCGAGCATGACTACATGTAGGTGCTGAACTCTGGCTGGTTATTTTCAGACAAGAAAAGAACCATGTCTGTGTAGGGCCACTGTGTTTAACCTTTCAAGATAGTCAAAGCCTAGATTAATTGGCTAAAGTTGGTGAGAACAAGCAGATCTATGCAAAAAGGGCTTCAGTCTTCCATAGGAACCCATGGTAAGCCAAGCCGTAGCCACGTAATTCAGATGCAGCCATCAAACTCAATGTATGCTTACTTGGCTTAAAGAATGGATCACCAAAAAGAAAATCCTCAAAACTCGCTTTTCCAGAAAAACATGTACGTCAAAAAAGGAAGTTGCTGGCGCTGTGAGAAATCGCTGCCCAAGCAGTCGCTGAAGTGCCAGGGGTGTCCGCTCCCCAAATATTGCAGTAGTCCGTGCCAGCAACGGGACAGAATAAGGCATGGGAGCATGGAGTGCAAGAGGTTTGGGTCCAAACGGTGCATTCAATGTGGCAAGACGGAACAAACCAAATAAGTACATGTACATGTACCAGTAACATATGAGTGTAGTTTTAGCTATTTCCAGTGTTCAAGGGAAACTGTCAATCCCAAAGATTTTCTCCTTGCTTTCACCCATCTCCTAAACATGACATTAATTTTGCACCCTTGTTGGGAGTGGAGGGCGTGTTACTCAATTCAAGGGATTTTAACCTTTTACAATCCTTACAATACTGTATGTATCAGTAGCCATCAAAAGTTCACTGAAAACTGTTCAGTTAACTCAGACTCTTGATTTTAGTTTTCCATTCTTCTGGACACTGTCAGTGTGCAGGTTGCAACAATCACGGTACAGCAATGTTGAATGCCAACAGAACAACTGGGCTGCACACAAGAAGAAATGCAAGTACCAGTAAGTGTGAGATTGTTGGCACAGTTTTTATAGCTTTTCCAAGAGGAAACAGTTTCAATTTGGGGGCACAAATGTGACAAATGTGACCAAATGTGACAAGTGTGAAATCAGGAATAAGACACAAATTGACTTTTTGAGATACGTACAGATATGGTTGGAAAGAGAATTTCATAAGCTTTCAAATGGTACACATTACAAGAGTGTTGATGGTAACCTTTCATACATACACTTCCAAAATATACACAAACCGCCACATCAATTTTTTTCAACATTTATCTACATGTACCTAACTCGGCCATTACATAAAATGGCCTCAGCAACTTATTCTCGATTTTGATGTGTACCAGGTCACAAACAATGTATAAAAATTTCAATGCACAAACTTGTCTGGAAGAAAATCTAGGTAGGAAAAATTGATGGTCTATGGTCTTAGTGTTAGAGAGAATTCCAAACATTTTAGACTGGTATGGGGTTAGTGGGTCACAATAACATGCTAAGAATTAAACAGCTTTTCCTGTTCATAATTAATAAATAAAATAGACAGCACAAAGACACAGTTAATCTGAATTCACACCGTAGTGCTCTAGATACTTCTTTGTGTGATGCGAAATAAATGACACATTAATCCTCATAACTTAGATGTTTGAGAAATAACTTTCCTTATTTCAATATAAATTGTTCAGTTACATGTTACTCAGTCAAAGGTCTGTGCAAACCACCGTATGCAGACTCTGAAAAGAAGATGTCAGTGTATTGTCAAATAATATCCTGCTAAAAGTTCAAGGAGACAAAACTGTAGACCTACCGGTATTTTCACTTGATTCCAGTTTTCATTTGCAACTACAGGATTATTTGTTAGGCTGTCACACTGATGGCTGGATGGAAACAATTCAACATTAATGGTACATGTAGGGTACGTCACATCATGATTTATTTTCAAGAAAACTGTAATGCGATGTACCGGTTAGTTTAGATTGACAGAAAAAGTTTCCACTCAACATTGGACCTGCCAGTGAATTCTTGAAATCATGGGGGGGGGATAGAGCTGAATGAGGGGGCTACGCCACAGTGGCTCCAACAAGCCCCTCCGTGGGCGAGAGAACAACAACGAAGCCCTCAAACACACCAAAATAAAATTCCCTTCCAACGTCAGCAATGTGCAATCACTTGAATGAGTCACTCATTTCGGTGTACAAGTCCATGTATGGTACCAGAAGTTTGTCCCATTTGGAATCATTTTCAGCACCCAGTCTGGGCACACGGAGAGGACCTGAATCGACCATTTCACTTTCATTTGTCCGACAGCTTTCAACTTTCATCGATCGTGCTTGACACCCCACTGCCGGGAGACAATCTCCATCTGTACTGGTAAGGGTCTTGTATATTCCACTACAGAAAACTTTATTCATGTGCAACACTCATTTCTTTTTCATACATGTAAATTCCACTTCAACAATTTCAACCACTTGCAGACTGTATTACTTAAAAAAAAAAACAGCATTGCCTGAGCATGGTACAATTTTGGGGAAAAACTCCACCTTTTCAAAATGCTACCGGTACGTGTATACAATCACAGTCCTTTATGTACATACGTATCAGAGTTGCTGACTCAAGTCATGTGACTTGGACTTGAGTCGGACTCGAGTCGCTATTTTGGTGACTTGTAACTTGACTTGTAGTGTACCAGCTTTGACTTGTGACTTGACTTGGACTTGCAAAAAATGACTTGTGACATGACTTGGACTTGCAAAAAATGAGTTGTTACCAACCCAAGTCAGACGCTACTCGACATGGGCGCGACCGGTCCGATATATTTTTATAACTTGTAACTTTGTAAGTAGACGCCAGGTTCTTTTTGCTGATTACAGCTGGACAAAATAATGTGCAGCTTGACTTGCACTTGGATAAAGAGACTTGTGGCTTGACCTGTGTTTAGACCAAATGACTTGTGACTGGACCTAATGACTTGTGACTTGTCTTGGACTTGAATATATTGATTTGTGACTTGACTTGGACTTGCAAAAAATGACTTGCTGCCACCTCTGATATGTGTACCGGTACATGCAAAACTGCAGAGGGGCTTTAATGCTGGCCTATAGCATATGGGCCAGTATTACTTCAGGATCTGTGCGTCTTTTCTAACTCCATCTTCACTTTTTTCACACACTGAGCAGAGTACAGTTGGTTGTAATGTCCAGCCGTGATACGTATACAATCAACCTCCACTGACTAACAAACACACACAGGTAGGAATCACTCAAATGTAGAGACGAGAATAGACGTCATCTGCTTCTGCAATCCGCATATTCCTGCAGTGTGTTTAATGTCCTCCATGTACACACACATGTACATATTAAGGAATAAGACAATTTCCACAAGTTGGCATTTAAAATCACAAATTGGACGGAAGCAGCAACGTGCAATTCAGCCAAAACAACCCTACATGTATTTTTTTTGTCAGAAATATGGACGTCAGAAAGGGACACTGCTGGCGCTGTGAGAAGCCACTACCCCAGAAACCGCTGAAGTGCCATGGATGTCCACTGGCTGAGTACTGCAGCACTCCATGCAAACAGCAGGACAAAGTCAGGCATGGCAGCGTGGAGTGTGAGGTTTTTGGGCCCAAGCGGTGTACTCACTGCCGCAAGATGGGACAAACCAAAGAGGTACCAATACGTACTTCCTGTTAACAACGCTTCTGCTATGAACCTTCCTGATTCCTCTAAAAACCTTCATCCACTGTACAAGGGTCCAAACTTGTTTTCCAGGAGCATCATGCCAAATGGACACATACAGCCACCATTACATGTGAATGTAAAAAATACACGCAATGGCTGAGGTCTAAATGTGTACATCCCTAAATCCTGCAAAATCTATCAAACTCTTCAGACAGAGTTTGACGAATCAGGGGTTATGGTTAATGCTGAAGTGTTGTTGAAGCATTACCAGTGTCACTGTACTACCTATGAGCATTGAATCTAGGTACATGTACAATGTATGATCCTGCACAAACTTATTGATGGGGTTGTGTACAAGATACCATGAAGAACATGAAGAGGGCCTGCGTGGAGCGCCGTCACAGAGGACATGTTTTGTTACTTAGATTAAATGACAATGCATGCACAAAAGGTTTACTCGACCCTATTCTATAGGAAGAAAGAAATGCCCTCTAATGTGACGTTATATGCAGTGGGTCTATTGTATAATTTAACCAATTTAACAGTTGCTATAAGGGATTAATCAACACAAACTACAAACTCTGGAGATCCACAGCTGATTCACAACAGAATCATTACTTCCGGATAATTCATTTGAATAAGTTGGAAGTTCAAAGCCTCTTTGCATTTGAGATTTATTATGAGTTACATGTACATGTATCAAAACAAGTATTAACTGAAATTTCAATTTTTGATATCATCGTCAATTCTGGATTTCCACATCAGTGTGCAGGTTGCAACAATGCATGGTACTGCAACACTAAGTGTCAGCGGGATGACTGGGCCACCCACACGATGTGTAGGAAAACCAAGAAGTCTTTGAAAGAGATGGCACAGTTTTCAAGAAAATGCTATGCTGAGATTTGGAAGCCTGAGTGGAGGAATGGGGAGCCACCTGTCTACATAGGCAACACCATCGCCAATGACTTTCTACGTCTGGAGGGGAATGAATGGTCTGGGCTGGCAGAGGTGGGAGAGGAAGAGCTCTACAGGGATTACCATGTGCTGTCGGTAGGTTGCGGCGACCTCAGGAACACTGTGCTGACTGTAGCATCCTTGCCTGCAAGGTACCAGGGAAAGCTCCACATCACTCTGGATGACCTGGACCCCTTCGTGATGGCCAGGAATGTGATGTTTCTCTTCATGATGGTGAGGTACGCAGACAGAGACGGCATCGCATCGTCCTTGGCAACCATTTGGTACTCGGTCCACATCTCCAGTGACCACTATGAGCTCATCCGGAAGGCACTGCAGGATCTCCTGCAGATCAGGGCAGACAACATGCCTGACAGAACTGCAGGGTTGGTGAGAGTATGGGATGCCGACTGGAGCCACCTGCGTGAGGTGTGGGAGGGCTGGTTGGCGCTGCCATGTCAGCGCAAAGCAAGCAACTCCATCAATCTCCACCAGCAAAGGTGGGATACATTCGGAGCGAACTTCTTTGAAATTGGCTTCCCACAGTACTTGATCCGGATGCCAGACAAAGATCTCAGGTTCATGAGAGAATGGATCAAACATGGCCTGTTCCTCTCAAAGGATATGCACCAGTCTCGCCTCACCTTCGACAACCCAACATTAACTGGCAGGCCACCTGTGAAAAATGTGTTTGCTGAGACGCGGCAGAAACTGAAAACACCCAAGGAGTACAGCTTTGTGTACAGCGTCAGGAATGACCAAACCCCTTTTAATGTTTGGGACTGCCTGAGGGTGGATGAACAGACCGGCCAGCAGGGATTATCAGTCATGGTCAGGTACCACGCATACGTGACTCAGCTTCTGCAGAAGACCATTCAGTTCATCAATCAGCAAAGGCTCATCATCCATGTTTTCGTGGCCAACTGCCTCGATTTTCCCAACTACCACCTCACTCTGAGGATGCCAAAGTATGACCGGATATTCACGTCCAATCTTGCAGACTATCTCGGACACTGCCGGCTTCTCAAGACATTCGTGCCACTGCTGAACAGTAACAATAAACACTCCACCATTGTGACACAGACTATGAACTGGATTGCCCGTCTTATGCGCAAGGCTGACATTCTCAATCAGTCACCTAAAGACAGCGCAAAATACCAACAAATGTGCCAGCAGGACACAGGTTTCAGTCCAGAACTATCTATGTCCGAGAACAATCACGTTGAGTACTACAACAATATGCCCTGGTTCCTGGCCTATCTTCGCACCGACATCATGGCAGGGGGAGTCGGGATACCAGTTATGGACCATGCCCCAAAGCTCAGCGAAGTGATGCAGTTCGAGGGGCTCCGGATGCGCGACTTCAGGAAGGAGCTCAATAGACTGGTACCCTTCCTATACCGTATCAACGCTCGCAAAGTAACACTGCTGAATGGACACGAGAGAAATGTGGAATGGTGTCTGCCTGACCCTACTCAGGAGGATTGCTAGATCGTGAAATGTTTGTGCATGCACACTGTACATACAGTAAGAGCTGGTACAAGTGGTACGTTTGCTACATGTACTGGTACTAGTACGGGCACCGTACCAAACATTGCTCCTCCACATTATCCCAAGGCATGTTTTAATCTACATTGCAGACTGGTAGACGATTGGTAGATGATGTTACTACACCTCAAAAATACTCCTGAGCAAATCAGAGCGCGTCATTAGCCGATTCCACCCTCGCATCTGGGAAGTAGAAATGATACCCGACCAGGCGACGTCATACTGGTGAGTATCCACCTCACTGCCGAGCGGTAGTTTTTTTCTGGTAGCACCAAAAAATCCCTCTCCGCTGAGTAAATATGTAGTCTGTGTCATGTAATCTTTATGGAACCAGTCTGGAGTTGTATCCTAATAACTATTACAGCAAAAACCCAAAATGTATGTCAGCACCAGACTACTGAAGCCCTTTGCTATGCACATCTGCACTCGACTATCATTACATGAAAATTTAGCAGCTGGGAAACAACCATGGCATCTGTGAGTACAAGTAACGTTAGATTTCCGTCTTTATCTTAACACGAACTTATTGTACTGAATAAAGATGCAAAATCTACGAAGGCAGTTACTGACAGGGCAGTGAGGCTCCTGGAAAAAACTGCCAAGACAAAAAGGTGGATTTTGAAGAGGTTTATCAGTGGGAACCTGCAGAATTGAACATTTAAATGAATATTTATGAGGTGTGGTAAAACAAATACAGCATGGTTTATTTCGGGAAATAATGGGAATTACTGGTCATGTTGGTGAACCGTAGGTCAGCTTCACTACCCCCTGACACCAGTCAAGCTGACCTACATGTACACCTCGGGACCAGTAATTCCCACTACTTCCCCCTCAAGCCATGCTGAATTTGTATAATACTACTGGGACTGCATGTGCATGTATATTAGTTATCACACGAGTGGGAATGGAACACAAAGTAATTACTTCACATTCCATGAGCACAAGCGTGATAAAGAATTTATCTTCAACCAAACCTGATGCGCAGTAAAGATGTCATATGCAAGCTGTACAAGAAAAAATATTAGAAATAAAAAATGCATTAAACATGCCCACATGATGTTGTTGCGCAAGCACAAAACAACCCAATACACAGAGGTAGGACAGTGCAATCCGCCTCAAGCAGAAGCACCCCCTGGGAGTGCTCATATTGTTGGTATCAATGCGACCATAAAGCATGTCTTTCATAGCCATTTGTGAACCAGCAAAGTGCAGTTTCTACCAAAGGAGCTTGCGCTGCTGGAAAAATTGCACCCACTATCAGTCCAGCTCAGAGCTCACAGATGTACATGTACACAGGGTGTGATACGGACCCTAATCAGAATTAAGAATTCAAGTTTGCTTGAAGACAGAAGTATGACATCAAAGTACTTGTTGCCATGGATCAACCAATCTGAGTCGATGATCCATATCAGCTTGAAGATAAACTCAAGTTATAAATTCTGTCCTTTCATTGGCTGTCCTGCATCAAGACGATGCTTTCTTCATGCGTCCAGTAAGCTAACAAACGAGCACATTTTTGCCCAGGCTGGCTCCACCACTGAAGGGACATTCCTGGCAGATGACTGTCACAATCATAGTGTCAGGGGGTTTGAATCTAACAGCTGATTACATGTTATGTGACCTTGGCCAAGTCACTTTACCTGGTCATGCCCCTCTTTACTAAGGAGCATTCTGTGGCATACATGTGAATCTATGACAGTAAATATGCACATGTGCATACATGTACATGTATACTGATACATGCACCTGTTTCATGCATGTACATGTAGTTGTAGAAACTAGCAGTACATGTACATACATGTATGTGTTGAAACACTGATGTTACAGAGATAAATGTCTGTCCCCACAAATCAGCCCCAACTTTCCAAAAAGAAGATATCATCCCCTTGATGCGGTGAAGGCATGACATCTGATCTCAGCTGCCCAAATTGTCATGGCCTGATGAAAAGAGGTAATAAATTTACAGTAATTCCAACAGTAGTTCCACAACTAGTCTGCTGACTCATTTGCCCCATCCATCTGCCCAAATTCACATGGTCATTTGTAGTGTTGTCTGTCAGTATTTTCTGCAGCGTTTTTAGGTTTACAAGTGAAACCCGCAGCAGCATGTATCCATGATTTCTGATGAATATATACTTTTGTAGTTTGTCTTGTATTTTGCTTGTACATGTCCTTTGCACTGTTATGCTTTTCACACATGAACATTGTAGAAGAGGGAAAACAATTTTCATGTAAATTTTAACGTGACAATAAATGTTTGAATCTTAAATACCAGTAGTTGGATTGGTGCATTTTGTAAATACATGTTAGTAGTAGACTTAATTCCAACAAACTTTCTGCAAGGTTACAAAGCCTGGAAGCTCTCAAGTTCTGGAGTCTGAATGAACTCTTGAAAGTCTTGAGTCTGAATTTTCATGTAAATTTTAGCATGACAATAAATGTTTGAATCTTAAATACCAGCAGTTGGATTGGTGCATGGATGTAAATACATGTTAGTAGTAGACTTATTTCCAACAAACTTTCTGCAACGTTACAAAGCCTGGAAGCTCTCAAGTTCTGGACTCTGAATGACTAAATTGAATTCCAAGTTACGTGTAGGAATACATCTTTTTGTCTTTGCTGGTCTTTTAAAACTGATTTTATTTTATACTTTTAAGGTATCGGTGGTAGTACAGTGGAACGTCCCAATACCGAACATCATTACATGTATATTGAACATTCGGCTGTACCGAACATGGTCCTTAATTGGCTCCCAATATTTTGTGCACAAAACCTACCGAACATTATGCAAACTTTGCAAATCAACCGAGATTTGCCACAGCATGCATCAGAGATCAATCCTAAGCGGTAGCTTCACAAATTTTAGGATAAACTAAATATCAATTTTGTAACTAAAGATTTAATAAAAAACAAAAATAAATAACAGATACATTTCTAGAAACCTCATACGTGAATGCAACGGCAAAACATCACATGAACAGTGAATCATAGTATCACAAGAAGGTGCTTGTTAGACAAGTGAGGGCACTATTCAACATGGCAACGAAACGCTCGGCAGTTAATTTCGCTATATCGACCAACCGCTGTACCGAACATTTAGTGTGGACCCCGTCTTGTTTGTTATAGCGGCGTTTCACTGTATTCCACTTAACTAGGCCTTATTCTGTTCATCAGTCTGTTTAATTACATGTACCAGAACAATATATGTATAGATACTGGTAGCTACACCTGTACTATATGTTCAGTTATAAAGTTACTGTACTAGTTAAATGTACATCTATAATAGGAGTCTTATAACTAATATTAATATTATCTTGGTCTTAGTGATAGAAAAATATTGGAAACTGTACAATTTGTACAAATTTTAGACTAGGAGGCACTCTGTCACAATTATCTTTTTGCTAAACCCTGTTTACCATAAAGCAGTTACTTTAAGACTGCAAAGGACCTGTCAATTGGCCATATGCATTCACACTACAGCACTCTCAATACAACTTTGTGTGATGGCAGATAAATAACATGTGTGTGTTTATCCTGATTTTAATGTTTGATTAATGACTCTTGGTATTTCAATACAAAATGTTTGACTATTCAGTCACCAGTGCAGACCACTCTATTGCAGACTCATTTATTTGAAAATATTTTTTAAATGGTGACAGTTACCGGTAATTGTCAACTAAAATCCTGGTCAAGGTTCAAGAGGAGACCAGGCCCTGGTCTACGGTCCTTGGTCTTTTCTCTGTGGGTGCAGGGAATGGCTTATTCACAAATCCACAGTCTAGATGCCGAGCCATGTGCCGGTAATGTACTTATGCATTTGTACATGTACATGAACATGCACATGCTACATTGCAAATAAGAGTCTAGACCAATTGACTTGACTCTGTAAACAGTTTTTAAAATACAGGCCAGTCCATGTACATGTAGGTGGCGTTTCCTGTTAATGATTTACAAATGTTGATGATTTGTGAGGATGTCATACTGTTTGGAGGGAATAATCAAAAGTCAACGAAACATGATTAACTCTTTTTTACAATTTCATAGAAGGGTATAAACTGCAAACATATAAGTATGGTAGACGCACCTGGGGCCAATTTCATAGAGCTGCTTAAGCACAAAATTTGCTTAAGTGGGAAAAAACTTTGCTTAATACGAAATATTTCAGGGTCCGTTTTATTTCTATCCTGGTTTGAAATTTCATTTTCTTGAGCAAAGCATTTATTGAAACACTGGACATTTCACTTGAACCACATTATAAAAAAATTTATACCCACATGACATTAAGAAAATTGACAAATTGTTCTCACACTTGCCAAACCCTTTTGGGCATGGTCACTCACCAAAAAAGAAAAAAATGTTATTTTTAACGGCCATTTTGCCTTGTGGAGTTCCCGAAATCTACAGGTCCCCTAGCCTCATTTACATGTATACCCCTCATACGTACAGCACCTGCTACTCATCAAGCGTTGATCCATGATGGCTGGAGCCCACGCTAACCCCCAGGCGGGTTACCAACAGACAAGTCCCTCTTAACTTCAACATGACCTTAAAGATTACAGGTAGGCTCCAAGATGAAAAAAAACAAGAGGCCCCGCAGGCCGGCACTGGAAAATGAAATACCCCGGCCAGTATCAATAATTTCCAGCGTTGGCAGGACTGCCAATAAATCATTTACTACCTGTGCCTGTTTGTCAAGTATGCAGGTTTGACGTCTCCGAGATTTATCACTCTCTGCATAAAAAAGCTAATTATAGGAGAAAGCATTATAGCAAAGTTGCACTATTAGAACATGCAGAGACCCTAACCCTGCCGAAATCCATAACCCAAGCCCAAGAAGCCTTTTGCAAGTTTAATTTGAATAAGATCTGGTACACTGAGTTCTTTACATTTGCGTGACCATAACAATTTGAATTCTCCACACTAAAAACGCTATACATGTACCTTGCTATACCTTGTGATTTGGGGCAAGCTTTTGCTTACAGAGGAGACACCTTGCAACAATAAACTGTTCTGAATGGATAAGAAGGGCACAGAGGAACCAGAGATGGTGGTCACCACGCAAAAGCTTGCCCTGAATCACGAGGTACAGTATAGCAACAGTGTCTTTAGTCTAGAGAATTCAAATTGTTATGTTTATGTGCAATCGGATAAAACTCAGTGTACCAGATTTTAATCAAATTTAACTTGCAAAAGGCTTCAGAAAGGCTTCTTCAGAAAATCCTGTTAAATCGTTTTTGCTATCAGTTTCTAATCTAAGCAGAATTTTCCCCACTTAATCTCGTGCGCACAGGAAAAATCACAATTGTAAAGTCTTTTTAAAGAGCATTAAAAATACTGTTTAGATAAGAAACTAATAGCAAAAATGATT